TGCTTTCAGAGGCTGGGAATGTGCATGGAACGCTGACGCCGCTCGGCTTCGCTGGGAAGAACCCCTTAATGCAGCCACCACCACTGCTGAGTCGCTCAGAGCAGCAGTCAATGCCCGGCCACCAAGGCCATAACATGAAACAATAACCAGCTTAAAATGCCACAACTCGTCCTATTTTGGACAATTTGCCAAGGAAAAACAGCACAAATGGTTGTGGGAAAGCAGATATTTGAAGGACAAGCAATCCTACCTATACCTAGATGGGAGCACGGGTTCCCAAAGCCAAAACAGCCAAACCGCAAACGCAACCCTTCCTCTCCAAAACGCGCTCTGAAAACGATGTGTACCTAACGTTTATCCGAGCCCCGATGGGTTTTTTGCCTTCTGTAGGTGTGAGAAAGAATTCCCCATCCCGTTTTCCCGGCTTTGCCAGCTCTTGCATTATTATCCCGTTCTCCAAGCTGCGGCTGGAAGCGGGAGCGCGGCGCCGACCGCTTCCAACTGCTCCTCCAGCGCACAGACGGCTCCATCTAGCGTCGTTCCCGCAGAATTCCAGGGAAAAAGCCAATTGATAATTGCCATAGATTTTTAAGGCAAAATAACTGCATTTTCCTGCCCGTGCTGTGCCGTGCTTGAGGGAATATGGAGTAGATTTTACTACACAGAGCTCTTCAGTGCCCTGCCTAAACCCCTCACACATGTACAAACCATCGCAGTCCTTAGCACAGTAATGGGAAAGGAGATGCAATTTGCACCAAGCAGGAATGGTGCCAGAACTGGATTTTCACCCAGTTTTGGCAGTGTGGACACGCTGTGGCTCCCCACTCTCATCATACATCCGCAGTTCCCCTTGGCTTAGCGGCTACAGGTCTCCATCCAGAGACAGCCAACAGCAAATGTACCTTAAAGTCACATCATGGAGAGAATGCAACACAGCATCTCCAGCCCAAACCAAAGCAGCTGAGGACCAGCTCCCCCATCCTGACTCTCACATAACACCATTGATTCTCTGGCCATCACTTCACCGCATTGAACGTTGCCCTGCAACCAGCAATGGCTTTGAATACAACAGGGTTCTGTACAGAACAAGTCCTTGGAACACGGTGCTGGGCAGGCAGACCAGTGTCACCAGAACCAGGGTGGGCCTGAGCCAGCTCAGCTGATGGGTTACCCCAGGTGCTGAGTCAGCAGAAATGCCAAAGTGATATTGCTGCAAACCTCAATGCCCCTGGGCTTGAGTTTCAGTCTTCATGACAGCTTGAGCCTGCCTAGTGCTGGGATTCTTAACTCCAACCCAATATCCCAAGCTGAAGGAATCACAGGATGGTTTGGGTTGGAGGGTCCTTAAAGCTCCTCCAGCTCCAACCCCTGCCACGGGCAGGGACCCCTTCCACTAGAGCAGCTTGCTCCAAGCCCCTGTGTCCAACCTGGCCTTGAACACTGCCAGGGATGGGGCAGCCACAGCTTCTCTGGGCACCCTGTGCCAGCGCCTCAGCACCCTCACAAGGAACAACTTCTTTGTGTATACCCTAATATTTCCTTATAACCTAATATAAAGTGCAGGGAAAAAAATAATGAAACCGAAACCTTGGGAGGATGGAAAAGAAAACAAAATAGAAATAAGCAGAACATAAGTTACCTTAATTGTGCTCAAAACCCAATGTCAGATACTTCTCTACATGCCACCCTTAGCAACCATAAAGGCTCAAAACCTCACTTACCTCTTCACGAGCAGCACTGTGGCTCCAACACTTCCTTGCCCTTTCTCCCTTCTGTGCAAAATATGTTTTTCCTTGTGTGTCTCCCAGCAGAACCCCCAGTCCTCCCCATGCTCCACTTGGAGCTCTGGAAACATCATCTAATTGTAATGCTCAAATCACTGGGATCTGCAGAAAAACAGTTCAGGAACTCATGCCACACATGTATGCACGTGGAAAGTCAAAACAAGAGCCAGCCAGCCCTGGTTATAGGCATCAACCACTTAATTCCAGCAGCACTTGTCCCTCAGTGCATTAATACCTCATCCTGAGACTGCCCCTGGAGCACCATCAGGTCTGGGCGAGAACACAGGAAGCCACAGAGATACTGCCAGGGCTGGAGCAGCTCTGCTCTGGAGGCACTGGCACACATGAGCTCTTAGGCAGAAGCTCTTCCCTGTGAGGGTGCTGAGGCGCTGGCACAGGGTGCCCAGAGAAGCTGTGGCTGCCCCATCCCTGGCAGTGTTCAAGGCCAGGTTGGACACAGGGGCTTGGAGCAAGCTGCTCTAGTGGAAGGGGTCCCTGCCCGTGGCAGGGGTTGGAGCTGGAGGAGCTTTAAGCCAACCCAAACCATTTTAGGATTGTATGATTTCATGATCCTCACCTTGTTGCAGGTGCTGATGAACTACATACTGTCTCTTCCATTCCACACAAAGCCAAACCTTTTCCCCACAGCAGCAGCAGTCTATTCCAGAGGCAGAGGGAGAACACATACCTAGAGACAGGGAAGAATCACCTTGCACAGCAGCAGCAGCAGCACCATACGTACCAGTCACGCTCCCCAGCAGTGCCTTGAGTGGTTTTGTCCATATGGTTGAAGCCTTTTCCAAGAATGTGTTACATTTCCTGAGTGCTGAATATCCTAAATATAGGAATTTATATATACACTAATCAATAACAATAATGGAAAACTAGGCAATGGGAAAGGCAAAACTAGAATAAAGATCATAAAGATACTAATGAATGTTGCCAATAATGCAAGCTGGAGACCCTCAATTGAGCACCGTAAGGGGAGAGAAGAGACACCAAACACCAAGGGCAGCACTGGAGCTTTGCTTCACACATAAATTCCCTACTGGTATAAGAGCCATTTCCATACTGGTCTAAGTGGTGTAGCAGAGTATACCCAGTACAAGAGTATACAGAACATATCTATACAAGTATATGGACTGTAAGCTGTCAGACAGAGTAACAACCTTTATTCACTGGGGGTCTGTTGCACTTCTATAAGCCCTGAGCGGTTAAATTCCATTACAGTGACTTTTAAGGAAAACTAATGCAGAAGAAGTAGCATCTTGTATTTAGTCTTGGTTTAATTAAAGCTTCTGACTCCTAATTTGACCACAGGGATGTTACCCTTTGGTATAATTTTACTGTTTTAAATGAAGTAGGTTACGACTTGTACCCACAACCACGTGGAAGCATTTGCAATTCACTTTGAGAGACTAAGGTTTTCATGAGGACAGGATCTCTCCATAGTAGTTAAGCTTGGTTTTAAAGTTAGAACCTGTACTATTTCATAGATTACAGAAGTTATTCCTAGAAAACTGACAGACCAAATTAAGTATTAATCACTAAGAATTCTGCAACATGTCCGAGTCCATTCTTCTCTGCAGTCAGCCTCTAACAGTTGGGGACTACCTCCAGTAACAGTCCTGCTTCAGGTTCCAGTATACTTAGATTATATTGAGAATTGAAGCATCAAACCCCTAAGAACTTGCTTCCAAAACCTGCTCAGCTGCTGCCTGAAGGAAAAACCTCCTCAAGCGGGTTTCTGGCCAGGAATCTCAAGCAGACATCAGTGTTTCTCTGCAAGGTCAACCAACACAAGAATCAGCAAGGAAAAGGCTCTCAGCAACACTTCCCTGCTCAGGATATGTTACAGGTAAGGCTCAGGCATTTTGCTGCTCACCATTGCTTCATTTTCTGGGTTTCACGAAGGAAGCAAACTCCTCTTCAGGTTCTACACTTCTCCAAGAAAGTGATGTCCTTGTCCTCCTTACTGTGCATAGCCAGTGTGCCCAGAACAGTTTAATCCATTGCAGTTGATACAACTATCAACTCAGTAGCAGCTGAGAGAGCTGTCACACACAACAATCTACATGTAGTTAACCTGAAACATTCCAGTACTTCACCAGCACAAAACCACCTTCCAGAAGAAACCCCTCAGGTTTAACCTCAGTCTGAGCACAGATACCAAGAACTCAAGAGACCTGAAAGCAAAAAGTGTTCCTCTGGAAGGAAAACCCCCTCCTGCACGTACCTGCAAGTGGTTTCATGGTGAGCCTGTTCTTAGAACTAACTGTATTTCAGAGCATTAAAAGTATTACAAGAAGGATTAAAACTAAACTAAATCCTCTGAATACAGAAATTAAGGATTCATATTTCAAGACAATTATTTAAATTGCCAAAGTCATACCCCAGTAAGTAACCCTTTCCATTTAACGGAAGGAGCACTGATAATACTGGAGTAAAGACTCCAGGGAGACCTTAGAGCAGCTCCAGTGCCTAAAGGGGCTGCAGGAAACCTGGAGAGGGGCTTGGGACAAGGGCCTGTAGGGACAGGCCAAGGGGAATGGCTTTAACCTGCCCGAGGGGAGACTGAGATGAGCTCTTAGGCAGAAGCTCTTCCCTGTGAGGGTGCTGAGGCGCTGGCACAGGGTGCCCAGAGAAGCTGTGGCTGCCCCATCCCTGGCAGTGTTCAAGGCCTGGTCCACTGGAAGGTGTCCCTGCCTGTGGCAGGGGGTTGGAACTGGAGGAGTTTTAAGGTCCTTCCAACACAAACCAGTCTGGGATTCTACGATTTATGATACACCAAGAGACTGGCCTAATCACCGTGTTTATTAGCTCATTTCAACTGTAATTTAAATATGCCCCAAAAGCTATGTTAAAACAGGCTGAACATCTGAGATGAACAATTATGGACCAGCTTTGCTAATGAAGATGCACAGCGTAGAGCTGAAACTCATTAATATCCACTTCCTAATGGGGCACTGGATTAAGGTTTCAATAGGATTTTTCTTGCTTACTAGACAGGAAAACAGTTATGAACAGGGACAGAAAATTATGCTCCACACCACAGAGCTACAGCCATTAATATTCTCCTAATGAGAGCTGAGCCCGGAAAAGTAAAGATGCAATTTAGTCCTATATAATACTACAAAAGGCAGTGGTATCATTACCCAATGCATAAATATCTACATGCAATGAACACACTGAAAGAGTGTAATAACCACCCCAAAGTTCTTCAGCATCATATTTTAATTGCATTTGTAGATCTAGACATGTTTGTATCTTCAGTGGAAACACATTTTCATATGTAGCGTGGTCTCGTGAAACACCCAGAGGACATAAGCTGTGTTTATTTACTCCTGATCAGTTCCACGGGGCTAAGTTGCCTATTGCTCTGATATCTAGAAGTGAGTAAGTGTTCAAAGTGTTCCTGTTCCCATTGATGTCCTTTTGCTATTAATTTTCTCCCTTCAGAACAGGCAGCAATTCACCAGTTTCCTTTAGTTCCTGTAAAGAAACAGACACAGCAATTATTCTCTATGTACACTTTGTGATTACAACAAGGTTCCAACAGGGGTGGTTTGTGGGTAAGGAAATCGATGCAGCAGCTACAAGGGAATGTGCCAGTCAACCCACTAGAGGTCCCCCTTGGCCAACACATTGGAGCTCTTCACCTTGGGTTTAAAGCCTGCGTCTGTTTAGTAAAAGAAACTTACCCAGTGAAAAGATACCCCCTCAAAAGAACTGGTTGTTATCAGCTTTCCTGGGTAAAGCCCCTGCTCTGTTTCCTTCTAGGTGCAATTCAAGGCCTATTTTAGGCACATACAGAATTCTGACATCAAAAATGCCTCCTAAATATATAAAAAAAATCATCATTCACTGACAGATTTTGTTACAGCCACGCATTAAAACACACAAGACAGGAAGAGATTTGTAAGATTCCTGACTAAGAGGTACCTGCCCCATCCCTGGCAGTGTTCAAGGCCAGGTTGGATGGGGCTTGGAGCAAGCTGCTCTAGTGGAAGGCATCCCTGCCTGTGGCAGGGAGCTGGAACTGGATGAGCTTTAAGGCCCCTTCGAACACAAACCAGTCTAGGATTTTACAACAGGTTGATGACTTTAAATTCAAATGATAAGGCTGTTAACTTCATAAAGAAGTCAATAACATCAGGAAATAGTTATAAAATAACATGTTGTGAAGTGTATGAGGGGCTGGAACTAAATGATCTTCAAGATCCTTTCCAACCCAAGCCACTGTGATCCTACATACTCTTTCCCCCCATCGAGAGAAACAACTCAATCATATTAAGCTGTATTACAGAATGCACTTTACGATACTGACAACATACTACAAGTCAGTGTGAACCGAACACACTCCAGCAATGCAAACAGACAAATCACATTTAAATACCAGTGAGGGAAGTATTCCGCAACATCTCCACAATGCCCAGGACTCTACTTCCCAATCACTGAAATAACCCACACACTTGTTAAATAAATAAAATTAGTCCATATAATTTAAGTAATACCAGTATTTTTAGAACTAAATGAGATTTATTGATTGTATCTTCCCAGGAGTTACAATGTCTGAGGAATTGGCTATAAAACATTCAGACAAGAATGGGCTCCAGAGTATTTGGGCTTTAGAACACTGTGCCTGCTCTGTTACAGAAATCAAAAACCAGAGTAAGAGATGCAGATCTATTTTTGTTGCTTCAGGGCCTGTTCAAACAACTCCAATAAACCTTCCTTTCTTCCAGGAATGAGCCTGTTTTGCTAGGAAAAGAATGTCTTGCCCACTTTCTCTGAGAAAAGCCATGTCAGAAGTAAAACGAGGAAAAGAAACCTGTAAAAATGCACCCATGGGGTGAAACTGGTCTTTACAGTAACAGTAACTGACTGCTGTCAAGAAAATACATTTCACTGCTAAATCTTGGCATATGAGAACACTGGAGATTTAGAGCTGCTTTCAGCTGTGTGTTGAGCTAAGACAAGTCACAGTAAAAGCCACCAAGGCAGGTGCTTTCATGATATAAGGCCATTACCCTGGAGCGTCTGTACGTGATGGGCAGGAAGCAGTCCTACATTTTTAAGCACCCAATTTACACCTCCAACAAGATTTTCCCATTCCTACCTTAATGATATCCAGCCCTCCGACCAGTTCACCTTTCACATATAACTGTGGGTACGTTGGCCAGTTGGAATAGGTTTTCAATCCTTGCCGCACCTAAGACAACAGAAACCTTAAGTACAAACTTCAGCCTTTGCAGAAACAGCAGTGAAATCCTCAATGCTGGAAAAGGTTCATTACCTCTTCATCTTCCAGTATGTCAAATGTCTCATAATCAACGCTAGGAAAAAAAAGAACACACAAAATCATCTACTGTGGAGTTTTGCAAGGTAAGACCTTTTAAAACTCAGAATGGGCATGTTTATAAGGCAGATTCCAAATCACTCAGAATTGACAGGTAAGAGGAAGAAAACAGCCAACATCTTAGGCACAAAGAACTGTGATGTAAGTAGTTTCCAGTTTCATAGGAAACCCCTTATAAAACACAGATAACCCCTTATAACCCACTGGAAATTAAGCTGTGTGGCTTAGGCTCTAACTGGGCAAAATGCGTTCAAAGTAATTCCATTCACTATTAGCTTAAAAAAACACCCAAAGACACATGCACACTTTGGAGGGTTTTATTAAGGAGGAAGATGTTCCCTGTGAGGGTGCTGAGGTGCAGGGTGCCCAGAGAAGCTGTGGCTGCCCCATCCCTGGCAGCGCTCAAGGCCAGGTTGGACACAGGGGCTTGGAGCAAGCTGCTCTAGTGGAAGGGGTCCCTGCCCCGGCAGGAGGTTAGGACCCTTTAAGGCCCCTTCCAGCACAAACCAGTCTGTCTATGAACCAAACAGCCACTATTTCATCATCTTCATATACTACTTGTGTAAAAACACAAAACTAAAGTTCCTGTGTAAATCTGATCTCTGGTTGGTCCACGTACAAGTTTGGGTAAGCCATTCCTAGTATCTCCAATAACCAGCACGTGCATAGATTCCTCAACTGGACTAGGACCATGACGGGGAACAATGATTTGAGTGCTGCTTATTTCCAAGTAGTACATTGATGTATTGTTATCTATGATCTCAAAAAGCCCATTCTAACACGCAGTAATCAAGACAACTGCTTAACCTCTACCGAGCAGTGCAAATGAAATGGGAGTTTGTTCAAAGGGAGATGATACCAATCTCTCTCACTACAGAAAGAGCTGCTTTAAAGAGGAAAACTGAGGCTAGGTAACATGAGAGGCTCCAAGATTAAGGAGACAGATCAAGAGGGACCTCTCTGAGACAAGCTGCTTATCAGAGTGGAAGGACTGCTTTCATGTTAACAATCACAGCAGGAAGAAAAAAAATCACTGTTGCAATGAATTCCTCAATATGAGCAAGACAATCACAATGCAGTAGTGCTAAAGCAGTTAATACCTAACACACCGCATCTGACCTGGCAGCAAGAGAGTGTACTAGTAATTTACACTATGGGCTTTCACATAAATATACCTGAAAATACCCTTAAACAAAGAAAATTACATTTGGGAAACTCTTGCACAAATATTTTCCAAACTTTACATTCATAAGCTGTAGTTTTTAGCACACAACTGGCTTCCCAAATTCAATGAAAAACCCACTTACGTACCCAGTATTATTCATGATTTCTACAATTTGCTTGCTGAAGCCACATTTTGCCACCTAAAATGCAAATCACACATAGGTTAAAACATGGATCTGATATATTTAATCCACAAACTACCAAGTCCTCAAGCTACACTACAGCTACTACTGATTTACTGCTAGTGATGACCTTATTGGATCAGCAACACTACTAATCTCTTTTTCCTTCTTCTTTACACTCTTTGAACTTTAAACAGCACTGAGTTTCTCTTTCTTTACATACCCTGCTGATATAAATGAAAGCATTTAGGATATTAAGCACTTTCCTCAGCTGTGGTTTGAAAAGATATGAAATGAATCTGTTTTCTAGCTCTGACAACACTGCCTTGAGAACTAGTCAGGTTTGCTTATTTTCTGAACATTCAAGAAGCAAAAGCTGTAGGCAGGATGCGTATAATTGCCTCACATGCATTGTAAAATACACATGGTTTAGTCCAAGACATACACTGGCCTTTACTTACTGCTCTGGAGAGAGTAGCAACCTATAGTGGTAAATGCTCCATCCCTGGCAGTGCTCAAGGCCAGGCTGGACAGAGCCTTGGGTGACACTGTCTTGGGTGAGGCATCTCTGCCCACGGCAAGGGGTTGGAATCGGATGACCTTAAGGTCCTTTCCAACCCAAACCATGCTCTGATTCTATGATTTTATGATAAACAGGCTGCGTGTACAGCAACTCCTAACTGAAATCAGTGATTGAAACTATCTACCGGAACCTTTCCACACAGACAGTATAAGGACACAGAACACCAATCACTGTTTTAGACACTGAGTTTTTAATCCAAACTTCCTCTTCCTACTGATGATTTAACTCCACCAATAGCTCAAGCAAAATCAAAATGCATTAAGCAACCTGCCCAACATCTTGCTTTCTGTGAGCAAGACACAGGTTTTAAAGGAGACAGAAGCCTGGAGAAGAGAAGGCTCCGTAAGGAGACACCTTCAGCTCCAGTGCCTAAAGGGGCTCCAGGAAACCTGGAGAGAGGCTTTGGGCAACGGCCTGTAGAGACAGGCCAAGGGGAATGGCTTTAATCTGCCAGAGGGGAGACTGAGATGAGCTCTTAGGCAGAAGCTCTTCCCTGGGAGGGTGCTGAGGCCCTGGCACAGGGTGCCCAGAGAAGCTGTGGCTGCCCCATCCCTGGCAGTGCTCAAGGCCAGGTTGGACACAGGGGCTTGGAGCAAGCTGCTCTAGTGGAAGGGGTCCCTGCCCGTGGCAGGGGTTGGAGCTGGAGAAGCCTTAAGGTCCCTTCCAGCACAAACCACTCCAGGATTCCATAAGTGCACCTGTTCAGAAGACCCAACCCCAACCAGCTCACCCCCATGTTTTCAGTGACTCGGCATAACCCACGGGATTCCAGTGCCTATGAAATGGCTTTGGAAAACAGCCTACAAACTCTATTGTTAATACACAGAGAAGGCTCACAGAATAAATAAGAAAATAAAATAGAAACACAAATCACATGGAAGAGCTCAGTCCCCTACCTCTGTATCCCTTTAAAAAACATCATAGAACAACTCATCACTAACTACAGTTATTATTCTGGGTTCACCACTCCAGGTGCCACTCAAGTAACTTTGACAGGAGGAACTGCAGTGCCTGCTGTTCAAAGGGGAGTATTTTGTTCCCTGGTTACTTGGTTCGAGTATACAACACAAAGCAATAGACTGACCTTTTGGATTACAGTCACTTGTGCTTATTTTAATCCTGTCTGTTAGCAGTTGTCTGTCTTCAGTGACTATTTCAGTGAGCAAGATAATCAAGTGCAGCTTAAATACACCACAAACAGATCATCCTATGCACGTGAGAAAGAGTGGATCATTTCTGGCATGTGGCATTATTCTTTAGCCTTAAAAAGATCAGCAGCTTATTTGAAAAGCAGTCGTGAAAGTATGATGAAGGGAGGGAAACTAAAAAGGACAGGACAGGACATCCAATGCAACCAGGCCAACAGAGGGGAATTTCAAGAAGCATGGATCCAGAGATGAAGTTCAGGGCCACACTCAAGGTGTCTGCCTCAGGGGGGCAGCTGAGTGAGGATGTGCAAAGCCAACTGACAGCAGACCAAAGGACACACAGAGCTCCTCCATCATTCCTGAACATCACTTGCTGGGCATCCCTGCAGGGCTTCAAATTCCCTGATTTTACTGGGGCACAGCTAGCAGCATTTTCGCAATATATATTACCCATCAGGTTAAATGGGCACTGCTCTTACAGGAGCACCAAACAAAAAGACAAATAACTGACTTCCCAGCACCATTAATTTTCAATAGCAAGGAAAAAAATGTTATTGTCACTATTTAAAGAAACTTTAAATATACCATGAAACACAATCTTACCTGTTTGCTTCCCTTCATGAAAAGCATCACAGGAGCTTTGTTTATCAGGGCTTTAAGCCTACAGAAAGCACATAAAAGAAAACCATAAAACACCTCGGTTATTACCCAAGCTTTGTTTCCATAGGAGGATAAAACACAAAAGTGGAAAGATACCAACTTAGAGCTTTACCAAATGCACTTAAAGCATTCTAAAAAGGCACTTCATTCATTTAAATCTCTTAGTGTGACTCTAGTGAATGAAGTTGAACCATCCCGTTACTTTCAGGCAACAATTTACTTTCCTACATCAACCTCTAACTATTAGGCAGCAGTAAGTGTAAGGAGGAACACCACTGGGTCTATATTCAGCCACACACTGCTTTCTTCCCCACACTGAATATCACACTTTGCATTTCTCATTCCCCGCATGAGAGTAACTTTTGCAGAGTAAGAGCTGTATCTATTGTCCACCAGTTGTAAGACCTATGGACTTACAGAATAAGGACTAACTACTACTCAAAGAAACAGGTCTGGTCTGCACCACTGTGCCCTGCCCAATACTGGTCTACCAGCACAACACTCCCCCTACTTCCCTTTCCTTTAGGAAAGGTTTTTTCATGACAAGTGACAGAAAAAGTTATCAAACTGTCAAATGGTTTCTTGATAAAGGCAAACCAGTCACTCTGTGTGACTCATAACACAAAGATTCCAGACTGGAGAATGCAAGGCCTTTGCAAAATAAAATTAAATGAAGGTTTTGGAAATGGCTTTAACCTGACAGAGGGGAGACTGAGATGAGCTCTGAGGTAGAAGCTCTTCCCCGTGAGGGTGCTGAGGCGCTGGCACAGGGTGCCCAGAGAAGCTGTGGCTGCCCCATCCCTGGCAGTGCTCAAGGCCAGGTTGGACACAGGGGCTTGGAGCAAGCTGCTCTAGTGGAAGGGGTCCCTGCCTGTGGCAGGGGTTGGAACTGGATGAGCTTTGAGGTTCCTTCCAACCCAAACCAGGCTGGGAGTCCATGATTTGCTGGGTTGCCTACAGCCTTCACACATGTAAACCTCAAAACAATTCTTCCAACCAAGCTGACTCTAGGTTAGAAACCAGCAGTAAAACAGCTACAGCAAGGTTGAGCTGCCAGATCTGTTCCCTGAAACCAGCTGGATCTCCAGAGTCCATTTTCAAGTAAAGAAGATGCAGTAAATTGATGGAAAGAGAGCAAACACTGAGTAAAGCAACATAATCTAGCATTAAACAGTTTCTACACTGAGATTCCTTCATTTTATTAAGTCTTAGCATGTTTGAAGAACTACCCCATACAGTTTTCTTTACGAGTGACTGGTTAGAGTGAATACAGTTGGGGAGAGATGTCAGTTGGTCACAAGTATGAGATTAGTCACGAAGGAAAACTAACCCGAGTCATGGAAAAAGAACTTCCCAGTTGTCACCAGAGAACAGAGGACAGACCTCAGCCAAATGTCCTGGTTTAACCCAAGAAACAAACACCCACTGAAGGATGAAGAACAAATGAGGCAAGAAGCTGCTCGTGACCTGGCTGGGGAACTGTCAGCCAGTCTTCCTTCAGTGGTAAAAGCTTCACTCACCTTTTCCACAGATGCTGCAGCCACTCCTTTAGGGAGACACTGAGCTATACCAATCATTTTCATCTATTTAAACACATTAGATAAGCACAAGACATTTCCCATTTCCTTCTCACCCCAAAAACATTAAGTAAAGCAAGAAACTTGTAATTCAATCAAGTTGCAGCTTATGCAAGATTGCAAAAAAAAGAAGGAAGAGAGGACATTTTATACCGTACGTTTTTAAAAGGCCATACAAAGAATCTCATCTTTACCTATAATTAAAGCTCAGAATACAAAAAGTAGTGACTGGGTTTTGTGACCTTGCTCAAACAATTTAGTGACTCTACTAGAGTAACAAAAGGTAAACCTTGGCCATAGAACACATTAGAAAGGGAAGTAATAACTACACTGCTGTAAAGGTAAGTATACTTCATCACCATATAGAAACAGCCTGCATTAAATTCCTTCCCCACTGTGCTGAGAGGGCAAAAGAACCAGAAGCAGACACACCCAGAGCACTGTCAGACTTGCTCTCACCAACCAGACAGCAAGAGGGAATCTCTGCTAACATATCTGCCTGCAAGGTACAGGCCACCTCCTAGTAAACCAACCCCCTTTGCATGTCCTAATGGCACAATTCGCGTAAGAACTAGGGAAAAACAAAGCCACATCCAGGAGGAACCTCTCAGAGAGAAGGACTTGTCAGATATCTGGAGCCTGACTGCCTGGGGCACACCAGGATTGCAAATGAGAGCAAATCTTCAAATGGGAAGGTTAAAGTAGGACAAATTGGTTTCCAGCTATTACAGCTGATTCAGGAAGCAGCACACTTCCTGCTGCTGCAGCACACATTCCTGTTGCCAAGGTGAAAGAAAACAGGGCCTGAAGGACATGAGTAACCAAGAAAAATGAAACAAGCCTACATATTTTCTCCAGTGACACCACAGTTATGAAGTCTGTGCCAAATGAAGCTCACAAAAGCTACTAATATTTAAAAGATGACTTTCTAAGCTGTCTTTATACAATAAATTCTTAAGAGACACAAGAAAGAATCTATATATTCCTGCTGTAATTAAAAGATAACAAACTACAAATATAGTAAGTAAAGCCTATCGGAGCAGTATAGCTTAATACTACAGCTTTATGTGAAATGATGCTCACTGGAGAGAAAACTGAACATACGAAACAACTGCAGGAATTCTGTAATTAAAGAAAACCTTGATGCACTTAAGAGGAAGTCGAAGGGCAGAATTTATATAGGGGTTTGCATACGTAAGAAACAGGAAACAGGGCCCACACAAAACCTGGAGAGGGGCTTTGGACAAGGGCCTGTAGGGACAGGCCAAGGGGAATGGCTTGAACCTGCCCGAGGGGAGACTGAGATGAGCTCTTAGGCAGAAGCTCTTCCCTGTGAGGGTGCTGAGGCGCTGGCACAGGGTGCCCAGAGAAGCTGTGGCTGCCCCATCCCTGGCAGTGTTCAAGGCCAGGTTGGACACAGGGGCTTGGAGCAAGCTGCTCCAGTGGAAGGGGTCCCTGCCCGTGGCAGGGGTTGGAGCTGGAGGAGCTTTAAGGTCCCTTCCAACACAAACCAGGCTGGGATTCTATGAAACCCCAAAACAGATGCCTTTAAAATACTGACATAACACATTATACCTGCTCTCCAACTTCTCTGCCTTCGGACAGACCGTGTCCAGCTCTCCAGAGGCTTCAAGTTCCTGGGGAGAAGAAAAGTCAGATGTAAAAAGCAAGAAAAATGTGCTTCTGACAACTACCAAGAGTAAGAGTTGCTCAGTTTCTAACCTTGACAATGTCAAGTCCACCTATGAGCTCCCCAGATACATACAACTGTGGGTAAGTTGGCCAGTTAGAATATGTTTTCAGCCCCTGACGAACTTCTTCATCAGAGAAAATATCAAAACTGCTAAATGAAATGCCATGCTTGTCCAGAATCTCCACCATCTGCTTGCTGAAACCTGCAGACACAGAAAGAGGAATGACAGAGTTTAAGCAAAGCTTTCCCATGTCTGCACTACACATTAGTCATTTAAAAATGCAATTCTTTAGGACAGTAAGTTCAAAAGAGCTCTAGCGTGTTTTTCTTCACTCCAGCAATATCCCCAAATATTATAAAGGGGCAAGAGAAGTATTTATTATTGGGATAACAAAACCAAAGTGCATGGTTTGTAAGTGTGGTGCTTCTCTACTTACGGACCATATAGTGCTCTAACCTTCATTTAAGTGTCTCTGTTGTTCTAAGATACAATTAAAGCAAAGTTAAACCCATTCCCTTATTCTGTCTTTTCCAGCTCTTCACTTGAGCATTCACAAGGAATAAAATGACTTCAACATTAACCAGTGCCCACAACAGCACCTTCAGTTGCCTTTTCATTTCTCTATCACACATCACTTCTCTACCCTTTCATTTCTTCCTCCAGCTACCACTGAACTTCGCTTCCACCAAATGTGTATGAAGTTGACACAGAAGTGGAAGTCAGGATCTCACCCCAGTACTGTGTCACCAGTTTAACTTAGAAACTTGGCTTTAGATGGTTTTCTACTCCTTTTGCTTTAGGAGCTTTTCCTTTCCTACTTCAGGGTAAAGGGCGGATTCCTTTTCATTTTCTAAACTCTCTATGTCCACAACAGCACATATATTCATTTCATACCTTGTGACACTACCACACCATGTTCTGTCTTCCTTTACAACAGATCTTCACTACGTCCTACTCCAAACACACCCTCTGAGCTGGATATTAAGCACTGAATATTATGATGTAAACATCCAGATTTGGTAAGTTTACTCTGTGCCAGTTTGAGAAGAAAAGTTTCTCCTTTCTGTGATTAAACATCTTGTTCCTAAGCAAATCCTCACATCATTTGCAGAAAGGTGTATGCATGAAAATTGTAACGTTATAGTATTTACAGTCTATAATCACCTAAATCTTCTTACACTAGAGGGAAACACTCAAAATTTCACTTTCAAACAATCCTCCTCTATTCTATTTTCATAGAGGATAATCTGGTTTGTGTTGGGAGGGACCTTAAAGCTCATCCACTCCTAACCCCCTGCCACAGGCAGGGACCCCTTCCACTAGAGCAGCTTGCTCCAAGGCCCTGTGTCCAACCTGGCCTTGAACACTGCCAGGGATGGGGCAGCCACAGCTTCTCTGGGCACCCTGTGCCAGCGCCTCAGCACCCTCATAGTGAATAATAATGTGATAAGAAGTAATAATAATGTGGTTTATGTGCTTGCCAACTCACTGTGGTTTGCACTGAAATGCCCCTGCAATCCTACCAATTCCTTCACAGAATTCCACCAAATGCTGTGCAGACAAATGAAAACCTCCATATAAATTTCAGAAGGGAAAAAAAGGCAATGCTTACAGGCTTTAATAAAGGAATAAAAAAAATAAAGCAGCCTTAAATGGGAAACAGAATCCAAGTGCCATAGAAGAATAACCTTTGATTTCAGCTTGCAAGACCACCTATTAGTTTTTGAAATATGGATTTTTTTACAGCAGCTTTCTGCAGTTTTCATGCTCCACAATTTACTGGGATATGAAGGAGCACTAGCTCTATGGATGGCATCTAAGTCGCTTTTCTTTCTACAACTGAAGTGTGAAGTTCATGTACAGCCTGAAGTAAAACACAGGTTCTGAAATCCTTCATACATCTGGGAGTTCATTAGTAAACAGCTAAAGGCTGATTGCTGATGGTGATTCCAGCACCAATACATTAACTCATTTCTACTGTAAGGAACTGGGGAGAATAAAAAACAGCTTTATTTTTGCTGGAGGCCATTACATGCAAACTAGAAAGATTGATTGCTTGTGCTTTATTTTGAAGGGTTATGGTAGCAGGCTGGAAGTGTTCTGCTTAGGGATAAAGTGCCGGAACAGCTTTACTTCCGTAACAAAAGGGTTAGGCTGAATTCCTGATGAAATGCCATATATGCCTTACAAAGAAGAATTAAACTGCTAACAAACTGGCTTAACTGGTTATGAAGACGATCGCAAGTGCTACTGCAGGGGCGACACCAGTAAAAACACCCTGAATAAATAATGGTATTGAAGCAAATCAACAAATAACACCACAGTCCAAATAAATTCACTGAAATAATACAAGGTATGGAGCAAACACAACGGCTAGTAAACACATAGCCAAGGGGAAAACCTCTCTTTACACTGTGCTTAGCTGGCTTCTCCACTGGAGAAATGACAGGCTACACACAGACCCCCACACACATTGCTGGCGAGGTTCCCCTTCACTTGCTCACTGCACTATGGACTCCAGTGCAAGCCTTATTTGCAGCAAAATCCATACAACTCAAGAATATCGTCACCTTTCAAGAAGCATGGCTCCTTTTGTTTAATTCAATTGTTATTACTCCTACCACTGTTCAAACTGTATCATCTTTGTCAAAGTGATAAATTACCTTCCGCTTCAAAAAGGCTATTCCAGGAAGTTTCATAGACCCAACTTTGCAACACCTTTGAAACTATCACAGCAGTTTAAGGCAGGCACAACATTTAACTGCAAAATTAAGAAGTTTACATGATTTCCTGTCTTGTACCACATTTTAATACTTCCAACTTTAATACATACCTATATTTAAGTAAGCACATCCTGTGCACTTTTCATAGGGTACCAGGGAAGAACTGAAAGCTTGTAGAAATACCTGTAAGGGTGCTGAGGTGCTGGCACAGGGTGCCCAGAGAAGCTGGGGCTGCCCCATCCCTGGCAGTGTTCAAGGCCAGGCTGGACACAGGAGCTTGGAGCAAGCTGCTCTAGTGGAAGGTGTCCCTGCCCATGGCAGGGGCTTGGAACTGGATGAGCTTTAAGGTCCCTTGCAACACAAACCACTCTTGGATTCTATGAGTCTATGATCTACTTCATCATATTAAATCATGCAAATGAACCTGTGTTACACTCTTAAATCACTTTCCATATTGGTTTTACGACGAAGTGCCAAACCATCCTTAATCTCAATGCCTCGATGTCTTTTTTGGTTTGTGTTTTCTGTGTTTTAAATAGCTTCAGAATTGCCTCCCATCAAAACTTCAAGCTCATGAAAAGCAGTGAAGGGTCTTTTCCCTAGAGAGCTTCGAATTCTTCCCATTGTTTTGCTCAACATCCTTTAGAACCAGCTCTTGACTCAGCATCCACAGAAATCCAAGGAAACTGTCCCTGTGTCATCAATGATCCCGCTGACCCAGGAATAACAGAGAACCTGGGCACATGAGCAGCTCTGAGAAGACTCGCCACTGCCTGCATGACACTGAGCTTGCCATGGCCACAGCAAGACCCATGCTGTGCTATTGCAGCTTGCCATGTGCCTGCCCAACCACTCACACCACAAGCACAGTGGGGTCACCAACAGCAGTGCCAACACAGTTAAACTCACAACAGGTGTGTCTGAACAGCCTGAACTGCAGACACCCCAAATGTGCTCAGAAATATCAGGAGCCAGTGAGAACCTCATGGATTTCAACCAGGCCAAGTGCAAGGTCCTGCCCCTGGGTCAGGGCAATCCCAGCACAAAAACAGGCTGGTGGAGACATGATGAGCAGCCTGAGGACAAGGACTTGGGGTGTTGGCTTCCCATGACCACTTCAGTGTGCACTTGAGCACAGAACCCCCAATGTGCTGGGCTGCACCCCCAGAGCATGAGGAGTAGGTCCAGGGAGTGGATTCTCCCCTCTGCTGCACTATGGAGAGACCCCCCTCTGCAGTACTGATCCAGCTCCGAGGCAACAACACAAGAGGGACGTGGAGCGAGTCCAGAGGAGGCCACAGAGATGCTCCAAGGTCTCACCAGAGACAATTTACTGTGATCCCAGTGAATTCTTGTTATTCCTTGAACTGAAACATAATCTTCAAACTCTTTTACCTTTTCAACATGCGCAACTTGATGCAGAAAACATGTCCTCAATATTCCTGAGGTGTCCCAGCTCAAGCACAACACCACACATCATGTCCTCTTCAGAAAGCCCCTAATCTCTGTGATTCCATTGCCAGGACTTAACTAAGAGACTAACTCTCTAACTACACTTAACCAACATGAAAACACTTTCATTACTACTCCGAAGACACTGCTGAGATGTATCTTCCCAAAACTAAGTGTGACAACTAGCCCAAAGCAAGAGTTGTCATGTTGAACATGAACTCGACTCAATCCTTACCACAACGGGGCTCTTTTGGAGTCCCCTTCATGAAGAGCATGCACGGGGCAGCGTTGATGAGTTTCTTGAGGCGCACATTCAGATCTTCTTTCACACTGCCGTTGGAACCAGCAGAGAGGGAGCTGCTGGACGCGTGGCGCTGCACTCTCTTGGTCAGCTCGGGGGCATGCGCACCATCCAACCTGTCCACTTTCTGAGAGTTCTGAGGGGAGCAAAACACAGGCTCCTGTTAAAGGATTAAATTCAGACTCTGTACTGTAATAGCCAAAGCACCATATAAATACAGAGTCCGAGATGCAGGGTGGGCTCGTGTATTGAGCTTTTAGCCAGTCTTTACATCCAAGGCTCAGGCCATTCTGTTGGCTGGCTACTGTTAACACAAGAGTCTGGAGCACAAGTCTGATGAGGATTAGCTGAGGGACCTGGGGGGAGTGTCAGTCTGGAGAAGGCTCAGGAGGAACCTGATGACTCCCTACAAGTGCCTGACAGGAGGATGGAGACAGGAGGGGCTGGGCTCTGCTCCCAAGGAACAAGGGATGGGACAAGAGGAAACAGCCTCAAGCTGCACCAGGGCAGGTTTAGATGGAGCTGAGGAACAATTCCTTCCCCAGAGGGTGCTCAGGCATTGGAACAGGCTGAACAGGCTGAAGTCACCATCCCTGCAAGTGTTCACACACTGTCCCTGCAAGTGGTTAGTGGTGGCGTGAGCAGTGCTGGGCAATGGTTGGACTGGATGAGCTTAAAAATCTTTGCCAACCTGGTGCATTCTGTGATTCTGATCCCACCAGAATTTGCTACTTGAAGAAAATACTCTGAATTTTATCATCACAGGCAAATGTGACCTAAACAGACCTTGTTATTTCTACCTAAGATTACCCAGGTTTTTGACATGTTGTAGAACTGCAGCTAAACAAGGAACCAGCACTGAAACTTCTCTGACCCAATATAAGGTGCAACTAAAGTCCTATGTAAGAATCCCAAAGCAATTAAGGAAGCTCTGAAATATTACATATGAAGTGTAAGAACCATTTCTATCTACTCTGTTAGGTTCCACTAGATAAACTTAAATCAGACACAGGAGTGTTTCTTCACTGAGAACGTTAAGGTTGTGCTCATGTTAGTCGTATTAAGAGTCCACATGGAATCCATCTTCTCTTAAATCCATCTTCTCTTACCTTAAAGAACAGGAACGTTGGAACAGAACTAATTCCGTATTTTTCAGATACTTCAGGCACAGCTTCAGCTTCCAGCTACAAAACACAAACACAGAGAAAAAGATGATTTCCATAATCTTCTTTAAAGTTTGACTGCAGATGTCGATGTCGTTCTCGGCGTTTTATACATTTAAAGAGGCTTTGATGCACAAGTTGGTGCCATATTTGCATTGAAAAGAGACTCTGTGGGCTGGCGTGTCATCCACTGAGCCTCCACAGTGGCAAAACAGGTTCAGAGGGTTTTATTTTGTTGCACATTTCAAAAGATGCCCAGAGGCTGCAAATAAAATTTTTGGTGCACTACTGACCTAGTAAATTTTCAATCATATGCAGCTACTACTATATTGAAATCCATAAATCATTGACCCCAGTTATGTCATGATTACAGTGCTTATTTTGTGCCCACAGCAATTCTGGCTGGTTGCTCTATTGACTAATTTCGAGGGGCAGTACATCATGAGTGACATTTGCAGCCTTCTGCAAATGAGGAAGGAAAAAGGAGTGTTTCTTCAAGAAGCTATTGATGTCTGCTGAATTGTATGTTTAACTCCTGCAAGGCTACTGAGGGGCCAGTTTGTTGAGATTATTGGTTCTAGTTCTAGTCAGCATTCAAATGCAAACTTGAAATCATTTCATGGAGCAATCTGCCAAGAAACTGTATCTTTTAATTAACTCAAATTCATGATTTTCTGGGATGGGCTAAAAGCTTATTTGAATCATCAAATCCCAAACTGGTTTGGGTTGGAAAGGACCTTACAGCTCATCCAGTTCCAACCCCCTGCCACAGGCAGGGACACCTTCCACTAGATTAGGACTTGCTTCAAAATACAGGAGAAGGCCTTAAATTTGGCCTATGTTTCCCAAACGTTTCATAGTTAGTTACATGTATTAAGCTTGTATTTTTATCTATATCTATCCTTCCCTGTGAGGGTGCTGAGGCGCTGGCACAGGGTGCCCAGAGAAGCTGGGGCTGCCCCATCCCTGGCAGTGTTCAAAGCCAGGTTGGACACAGGGACTTGGAGCAAGCTGCTCTAGTGGAAGGTGTCGCTGGCCACGGCAGGGGTTGGAACTGGAGGAGCTTTAAGGTCTCTTCCAACACAAAGCAGGCTGGGATTCTACGAAACAAGCAGCTGCAGGTACTTCATCATCTTCATATACTGCTTGTGTAAAACCAGAGATGTTTCGGAGTGAATTTGAGCCTAGGAAGAAGGGAGAGTTAGGGAAAGATGTTTTTAAGGTTTGGTTTTATTTCTCATTCTCCTACTCTGAGTTGACTGCCAATAAACTAATTTCACCAAGTGGAGTCTGCTTTGCCCATGCTTCTGTCTGGTGAGTGATCTCTCCCTGTCCTTATCTCAACCCTTTCAGTACGTTTTCTCTCACCTGCCCAGCTGAAGAAGGGGGTGACAGAATATCTTCAGTGGGCACTCAGCATCCAGCCAGGGCCAGCCCACCCCACATGGGAACAAATCAAATCCCCAGAACGTTTGGAAAGAACAGTGTTGCCAAATTAATCTCAAATTCAGGGACAAAATCCATGCTTTAAAAATATTCCTGTCTATAGAACTGAAGGACTGAGCCATTGCAGCACAGAGAAATTTCAAAGCTTGTTAGGTAGAGTAGCTAGTGAAAAAATTCCTTCATTGTATCTTGGTGGACAAATCAGTGTGGGATTTTTCCCTTTATACAGCATAATAAAATGAAGGTATTATTGAAGCTGCAATACCAAGTTTGGAAAGATGAACCTACAGCTTTCATCCCACAGAGTTTTGGTGCCATCTTGTCCATATGTTCAACTCTCATCTTGAAATGTGAATCCACAAAGGAACTTCCAAAACCAGCTTTGCTCTTATTTTGTAATAGTTTGATCACACTTTGTACTAATGGCTCTCCTCTGTTTAGAACCAGCTCCACTGCCTGACTTACCTTCACAAACACAACCTGCGTGTGCTCCTTTGCCAGTGCTGCCATAACATCATTCATCTGAGCACACTGAGGAGCCCATGGTGCCCAGAAGTGGACAACTACAAGGGACCTGTTCAGAAACAGAAAAAGAGAGTAACAGCATTTATAGTTTAAAAAAAGACTCATGAAATACAACAGCTTGATACACCTTGTGAAAAAACCCACAAACACAAACCCCACCACTCAGAGCACGCTCCTGAGAAAAGAAAATCCAACAAGTGAAACCAGGAATATTTTCAATTACTTTTTCAGAAAGCATTCCAAAAGCCAACCAGCACTGTTAAGGTAACGTAATACAAAGAAAAATATCATCCTGCATTTCAATAGTAATAGATCATTCCATGTGAGTGTCAAACTGGAGGAAGAACAAGCAGAAACACTAAAGATCAAGTCACACAGATGTTGAGGACAAGCACTTGGAATTGCTCTGGGGCACCTTAGCCCAAGCAAAGATATCTGTCTTCAGCAGCTCCATGCCTGAGGCTGCACCACTGCTCTTCCCCTCAGCCACGCCACTGCCTCTTCACTGCATATCCAGGAAATAATCATTGAATCACAGAGTGGTTTGGGTTGAGCTCATCCACCTCCAACCGCCTGCCACAAGCAGAAACATCTTCCACTAGAGCTCCAAGCCCCATCCAACCCGGTCTTTAAGGTCCCTTCCAACCCAAAGCACTCTGTGATTCTATCTTCTCCATGGCTGTCATCTGTAGACTCTTCCAGCACTCCTGCACACAAGTCACCACCACCAGTGGTTCGAAAGGCAAACCACTTCTCTTTAACCATAACAAAATAGCTGTAAGGCTTTTCTGCCCTGATCTCACTGCTCACAACTGACGCTGGCATTTAAACCCCAGTAAAGATTCATACCAGTGATCTACTCTACTTACAAATAGGATTTGGGATGGACTCCTTGCAAAGCCTGAGACCGCATCACACTGCTCAGAGCAAAACCTTCACTGCAAAGCTGTTTGAGCACTTCACACCACAGTGCAACTGCCACTTTATCACAGTGTAATGAGGTGAAAACAATTAGGTAGGTTGTAAGATGGGGAAGGCATTTGGGTGTATGAGAACATCCAGTCCAAACAGACAGAACAGTGTCAAATGCAAAAAGCAGCAGCAGTTCAGTGGCTCAGAAAACAGAGCAGGCTCTGATGCAGAGAATCACCATGAGGTTTGCCCCAGGATTGGTTTTCTGGAGCTTGTTCATCGCAAGCTTCATTTGAGACCTCCTCCAATACTGCTCCTAACCTATGCACTGTTCACTGATGCTGCGAAGAGCTCAGGGAAGTTGTTCCATCCTTGATCCATCAGTAACAAGTACTTTTTGTTTGTGTTAATCAAGTTTGATGATGTTTCCATGGTCTTCAAAAAGCAGGCTGCTCTACTTTGATCTATCACAGCTTTTGGAATCAAAGGGAATGAAGCGTTGAGCTGTCCTTTAACGGCACAATGCCTCTAAGTTTAAAACACTGATTTTTGCATCTGTTAAATTACAAGTGGAGCAAGACAATGCTTCCACTGGCTAAAAAATAGTGGAAAACAGGAGACCGAACCCCAGTGATCCTAAACAAATTATTTCCTACATTCAACCAAGATACTTCTAAAACCCTAACTAATACCTATAAAAGAAGATTAAACCAAAAAGGTTATGACAGCTCCCAAAGCTTCTCTTCCTGTATCAATCCATATTTCACATTTTGGAGGAAAACCCATGGGCCCAAAACTAAAATTCACTTTATTTAACACAATTTTTTTTTTTAAACCTGACTAGTTGAAGAAAAACCACAAAGACACATCACACTTTCTTTTCAGAAATGAAAAGCCCAAAGTCTCCTTTCTATAGTGTATTAATATAGAATCATAGAATCCCAGCCTGGTTTATGTTGGAAGAGACCTTAAAGCTCCTCCAGCTCCAACCCCTGCCACAGGCAGGGACCCCTTCCACTAGAGCAGCTTGCTCCAAGCCCCTGTGTCCAACCTGGCCTTGAACACTGCCAGGGATGGGGCAGCCACAGCTTCTCTGGGCACCCTGTGCCAGCGCCTCAGCACCCTCACAGGGAAGAGCTTCTGCCTAAGATCTAACCTTTATTTGCCAAAATAGTAAGACATTCTCCAATAAGCATATCCAGAAAATAACTACTAAATAAATTCTCCATTGATGACCCACCCTTGTAACTGTGTAATCTCCCCGACAGACAGCACAAGCCTTTTGGTTTATAAGCTGATTTCTCCAAAACACGGTCCAAGTAAAACAACAGTTACAGTGTGATAAATGATCCCATGATCTTGAAGCCATTGGCTTAATTCCCCTTTTACAACTGTAAAATTTAGACGCATTTTGAAAACAATTAAACCTTAAAATTCACACTTATTCTCTGACACAAATTTTACTAATAGCCTGATATATGAAACATTGATTTTCTGAAGCAAGAAATCTGATGGAATTAAGAGTCAATATAAAATGCTGGTAACTGCAAGTGATTTGTGGCAATTCCATTAGTCTGGAAAAATCCAGAAGTCTATTGAAAAGAACAATTTTAGTAGTAAAAGAGCCTCAGGCCTATCCTTAAAAATACAGCACACTCTTTGCCTTCAGCTTTATCTTTCAAGAGAGAAATACTTCCTTTAACTTCTTCCCTCCCAGGTAAGGAATAAGTTCCCTTCCTTACTCCTTACCCACCTTCAATAAAGTGTACATTTAGAACTACTTTTTAAACCTTTAACTTTCAAATTCTCTTGATAATTTAACATAAGAGGTACCCTAAATGGGCCAGTTTATATTTTTAAGGTTCTACTACCATCCAAACCCAACATCATTAAAAAAAAACAAAACCCCCACTATGACTTGGGGAATGTGTTATGTTCTGTAAGTGCAGATTCATTTTCTTCATTGGTTTCTTAACAGTACCAAAAGCCAAAGCCAAATGTTTTCAAATTAAGCAAAGGAAGAGAGTTATCAATTCTATCAACTCGTCTTAGGAACAGAAACATGCCCAAAAGAATCAAACCCATAAAAGAGAAAACTGAATCATGTCATGTGGGCAAAGGGAATGAGAATTACCGAGGGGTTTGTTGAAAATAACAGCCTGCTGAAGCCACTTTCATTTTGATCCATGTTTATCCATGTGAGAGAGGGGGAGTTTCCAATGGAATGTCCTCACACAACAATTCAGTTGAAGATTAATTCCAGGAAAGGAAAACTTGAAGTGATGTGCAAGTCTTGAAGAATCTAGTTTCTTCTTCCCATAATCAGCACTTATGAATGTTTCCTTCTGCTGTCTTTAAGACTGAGATGCTGATAGTTCCATCATCCTTTTAAAACCATTTAATCAATCACTTTCCTCTCCTTATACACTTAAAAGTCCACTTGCTAATGCAGCAGTTAAATGACATGGAAATGCTTTTAACACAGCACTTTATTGTGCCTTCCAAGGCCTAGTTAAATACACACTCAGCTAAGGGATTAAAAACTGTTATAATACAGTTACTACCCCTTTGATTTCACAAGAGAAACAAGCAAAGCTCATAACCAAACCTGTCTTTCTGCAGCAAAGCACCCAAGCACCCATTAATCTTTAATTACAATAGTAGTTACTGGGACACTTTCCCAGGAAAGTTAAAACTTGGGCACAGAAATTCCCCCTAAAGATCAGTGCCCAAGATTCCCAACACCAGGCCAGGAGCTGCTGCTCAGAGGCTACAGAGAGTCAGCGAGAAAGCAGTGGATAAAGAGCCCTGCTACTCATTACTAGACCATAAAACCAGAGTAATGAGAAACCAGCCCTGAGACATGAGAGATGAACAGTTTTGCTTCATGTATTTTTCTCAATATGCAACCTCATAAACACCGGCCCATAGTGTCCCATCCCTGGCAGTGTTCAAGGCCAGGCTGGACAGGGCTTGGAGCAAGCTGCTCTAGTGGAAGGTGTCCCTGCCCGTGGCAGGGGTTGGAGCTGGAGGAGCTTTAAGATCTCTTCCAATGCAAACCACTCTGGGATTCTATGGTTCTACTGATTCAAATGCTGCTGGTTTTATTGGAAACGCTGTATAATAACTTGGGCTTGTTGACACCTCAGGGCTTAAGAGGAAAAACAACTTCTTAGGTTGCACAAAGTCCCGTTTTCGTGGTTTTCCTGCCTCTCTGCCCATTTAGGCCTCACATCCCCTGCCTCGGGCACTGATGCAAGTTACAGCTTCCTCCTCCCTCCCTAGCTTGAGCCTTCCCAACCCGTCCCTTAACAAACAGCTCCTTGAAGAACAACCTCCCCAACCCCACTCCCGAAGCCGCTCTTCAACCAGGGCTCTGTTTCTGGCTGTTCCCTCTCCCGGCGCAGGGCTCTGCGGCAGCACAGGGCCCGCTCCCCTCGGCACACACCGGCCCCTCGCAAACCTCGGCCCGAAACAACCGCGGAGCCGCGTTTCGGGGCGCACCGGGCCAACCCCCGACACCGCAGGGAAACACACGGTACAACCGGCTGGAGGCCAAGCCACACACCACTCCCCCCCCCCCCGCCTCATACATATCCAGGCCAGAACCGGCGCGGAGACCTGGCGCTCCCGGGTGGCAGGACCCGGGTGGCAGGACCCGGGTGGCAGGACCCGGAGGCCCGGACCCCATCCCTCCCAGCCGCACCCCCGGGGCCTCACCGCTCCTTCTGCTGCAGCAGCCGCTGGAGCTGCTCGGCGGAGCCCGCCTCACACACCCGCCCCGCCGCCATGGCCGCGCCGCAGGAAGGAGGGGGCGCCGCGCGTCACGTGGGGCGCCACCGCGCCTGCGCCGCGCCGCAGCGCTTCCCGCGCAGGCGTAGAGCCTCCGCGCAGGCGCCGTGGGGTGTGTGTGGGTGTGATGGCTGCTGCTCCTCATCACCTCAGGCTTTGGGTTTCATCCTCATGGACTGGTTTGTGTTGGAAGGCACGTTAAAGCTCATCCAGCTCGCTGGACTTGCGCCGGCAGCTCCACGTAGCTCTTGTGTTGTCGCAGAGCTGGCTCTGCGTGTTCCTCATCTGCTCCAGGTATCCCCTGCAGAAAGCAAATCCTCAAATAGCTTTCCCGTTTCTGAACAAGGGAAATAATCCTGCGGTGTGCGTCTCTGAGGTGTGTTTTTGAGTGAAAGAAAGCATCTTGGTGAGCTCTAAACAGAGAGAAAACTGGTACTCATAAAAGGGCCGTGTTCATGGTAGGATTGCCACAAACCCACTTTGATGGAAATAACCACAAAAGGTTTTGATGCCATACAGAAAATACACATCTTGAAGAATTTCTTTAGTTTTCTCGAATCTAGTGATTCAACACCTCAGGTTTGCGTTCACCACTCGAAAAATTATTATTAGTTGACACTTTTGGCTACCAAAATCACACATTTTTTGTTTCTGACGAAGAAAAGACTTCAGGGTGGCAATCCAGTGTAATTTACAGAATAAAGACACACAGAATTGGTGAGATTTTGTGTATTAGCACATAAAGCTAGAAAATAGGCTCGACTGGACATAGGGGGACTCAAGGGCTTTCATCCGCATGCAGCTCTCGAGTGGGCTGGGTGTACAGACTGGGAATCATAGACTCCGAGGTTGAAAGGGCCTTGGGGATCATCTGCTCCAAGCTTTCTAGGCATAGCAGCACCCAGAGTGGCTGTCCCAGCACCCTGTCCGGCCGGAGCTTAGCGGTGTCCAACACTGGGGAATCCACCACTTCCCAGGGGGGATTATTCCAGTGGCTGATTGTTCTCACTGGGATTTGCCTCTTGTGTCCAGTGGGGATCTCCTCGGGAGCAACTTGTGCCCATCACCCCTTGTCTGTTCCATGGGACTCCGTGTCAGAGGGGAGCCTCATCTTCTTTGTAGCCACCTTTTCAATACTGGAATATGGTGATAAGGGAAGGCAGGCAGGGCACGCTTTTCCTGCCACGGAATCTTTTGCCTCCAAGCAGCACCAAGACAGGGATTTTTCCAACATGCTTGATGCCAGATTGCTCACACTATAATGGAACAGCCACTTACACTGTCCTCTTACAAAGAAACAAAGGTACCATGGGGCAGTTTGGCTGCTGTTCTTACCAGTCATATCAGGTTGTTCAGGACTGATGTATTACTGTTTCCCTTCTTATTTGCCAAGATACCTGTTGAATAAAGAATCGGATGTAATGCCAGCCTGAAATGAGATTTTCACTCCTCAGGCTCTGTGCCCAAGCTGTCACTGGAACCAGGATTACCACCGGTGATGGGAATCGCACTGTGAGGAAATGGAACAGGATAAGAAGAGTGAATATTTTATTTAGCTTTGGCTAATAATACTGATTCCTTTTGAAGCGGAAAGAGAACAGAAAAATGTAATACAAAATAGTGTCTTATCTCTGTGCTGTTAAAAACCAGTCATAAAGCACCCTGAAGAATATTTACTGTCCCTATAAATTTCATGTAAGATGTTGGCACATTAATCATTGACAATGTTACCTGAAACCTCAAAAAGCAAAATAGGAATTAATCCAAAATAAAATATTCCTATCTCCACTGAGGTCCTCCATTTCTCAATCATGCTAAGGAAACAAAAGCATGTGAATACTCTTTAAGAAGACAAATGAAAACCAAGATGTACAACTAGGTGCTTGCTACAAACAAAGTTTCATTGGCATAAAGTGCATTGAACAAACAGCCTCAGGAGGGTACGGTCTGAAGTCGGTGTGTGACACCACAGCAACAGGCCAGCTGAAAACAGCTCCAGCGTTAAGATTGTGCCCAGGACATCCTAAATCTTCACGGGTCAATAATACTGTTGGGTTTTGATTCCTTTTGAAGAGCAGGAGGTGGAGGATGTGCCTGCAAATGTTGATCTTCTTCACCATTCATCCGTTCAATGCCAATTGACTGCATTACCTGACAGAAAAAAAAATTAGGTTAGAAACAGACTTTTGGACTAAATCACAAGTATTTTAAGAAAATTCTAACAGAAATGTATGAATTGTGACACAAGTTGACCACAGTTTGCTCATCTTAACAGTTACAGACTCATCTTAACAGGTGTTGTGGTAAAAGCAGTGGGAAGAAGTATGAGCACCTCAGCTCTGCTTCCTGGTTGCTGCATCTCTCTGGTGATTTGGGATGAGTTGAGGGGAGAAAGTCCCATTCTGTGCATTTTCTCTGACATTTTAACTTGAAAGAAAACCAGGGGCACCATCAGAAACTTTTAAGAATAGAAAATCTTTAGGGAAAGTGTATTTGGGATTTTACACCATGTTGTGCTCAATTTCAGAGCTTTTAAAAGTGACTGTTCCAGTCACAGAAGAAGGATAAGACAGTTATTTTCACTCTATAAAATATTTGTTCCAAAGAAAATAATGTTGCTTAAATTCTCATTTTTTGTTAATGTCGTGGTTGAAACCCAGTCAGGTAACAGTTAAATAAGTCCCACAGTTGTCTAATTTGATTTTAGATTTCGGATCATTAAAAAACTCCGTATTAAATAATCTAGAACATTGAGCAAATAGCATGTAACCTCCTCCTGCTGCTCCTTCATGCCTCATGGAAACCATAAGACCGTGCAGAGTGACACAGGACACAGCACTGAGCCATTAATAAGACTAGAATATGTAATTCCACAGACAAATCTGTTTTCTAATGGTAAATTCTTCTGCCTTCCAGGTTCCCCAGTACCACACACAATGTTCATCCTGTTTGATCTCCACAGTTCTGCTCTATTGAAGATGTTCATGGAGAAGACTGTGGGTTTTGCAGTAGTAAAGTGTCTGTTCCAGCCACATTCACTCTTGGTTTATTATTTCTTGCCCGTATTGTTCGTGCAGTTGCCTGACCCATTTTCAACCACTTGAGCTACTTTTTCACTGGGAAGGAATTCAGCACTAGATACCGTATTCCGTATGCTATTCTGGTGATGCCAGGTTGGGATGGAGGGTTAAAGCGTGCTCTATTCCTTTGGCCAAAGCTCAATGACACCATCACACACTGGGAATGACTTGCCCTGCATCAGCTCTAGGACAACTGTAACTTCTGGAGATAAATGTGCATCTCTGTAGCCTGTGTCAACCGCAGCTATGTCACATAATTTAAGACCCCATTATTTAATAAGGTTCACAAGACCTTTTCAAGGTTCATTTGGAAGGGAAAAACAAGGATTGCTGTTAAAAATGTATAGGCCTATTGAGACGCAGGAGAACTAAATCTCCCGAACGTTAGGCAATATTTCTGGGCATCCCATATGGAGTATTTGGCAGCATGGTCCCAGGGAAACCCGGGGCTCAATGACTCCAGATTGAACAACAGGCAGCAGGCCAAATTAATCTGGCAAGGCTCCCATAGTGCCCAGTTGATCTACTGCTCACCTCGGGTTGCAAAGAACTCGACAACAGAGGCGATACCCGAACTGCAAGAGAGCAAAGCTGAAGGCAGAGCACAAGGCAGCAGCATGGGTGATCACTCCTGAGCACCACGGGGGGTTTCCAGCCCTGCCAGAGTGAGTTGGTTCACAAGAGGACTGTGTCATGGCCTTACATTTGCTCATTACCGTGTTGCACTGATATGCATGCTCCTCGCAGACACAGGTTTTACTCTGTTGTATTCAAGCTGGGAATTCCCTGTAAAATATTAATGTGTTTTAACATCATTCTCATCCACCAGTCCCTGAACTCACAGCTTTATGTGTGGAAGAAAAGTTAGTAGGACTTAATACTATTTTCCTGAGCGTTAGACAGTGATGGAAAAGGAGAGAGACTATGCCATTCCAGTTTGAAGTTGCTAAGTGATCAGGATATATATACATAGAAATATATTTACTTGATACAGAAATATTTATTACAGCATAAAATAAACCCTAATATCTTTGGAATACCCTCATGTCTTTGGAATATCTCCCGTATGAAGACAGGCTGAGGAAGTTGGGGCTGTTCAGCCTGGAGAAGAGAAGGCTGCGTGGAGACCTCAGAGCAGCCTTCCAGTATCTGAAGGGGGCCTATAGGGATGCTGGGGAGGTACTCTTCATTAGGGACTGTAGTGATAGGACAAGGGGTAATGGGTTAAAACTTAAACAGGGGAAGTTTAGATTGGATATAAGGAAGAAGTTCTTTCCTGTGAGGGTGGTGAGGCACTGGAATGGGTTGCCCAGGGAGGTTGTGAATGCTCCATCCCTGGCGTTGTTCAGGGCCAGGTTGGATGAGGCCTTGGGTGCCATGGTTTAGTGTGAGGTGTCCCTGCCCATGGCAGGGAGGTTGGAACTGGATGATCTTAAGGTCCTTTCCAACCCTAACTATTCTACAATTCTGTGATTCTATGAATACACCTAAGTAACACCTTTTCTTGTTTTATCTGATTACAGCATTTCTTTATTCTGACACACCATCAGGTACACGTTGGGGAATTGAGTCCATCCTTTGCTACAAAAGACTTTTATTCAGTATTAATTTCATGTCTCATTTCTACAAAAGTGATGAAGAATTGCAGGGGGTTGATGATTCTTGCAAAACCATCTTGAATCTGAATCACAGAGATTTATTAGACTGCCAATGAAGATTGACTCCTCTGTTTGAAGGAATTGGCTGCATTCAAAGTCAAATTAAAATTTATATTAAAACAGATTTCTTTGATTCATAAAATTATTTTTGAGGATATTTTTCCCCAGGGGCCTTGACTGTTACCACTGATGGCATAATTAACATAGAAGTTCTCTCCCTCCTTAACAAATCATGGTAAATCAAGGCAGAACTGTTTGCCATGTAGCAGGAGGTATCCAAAGTTGACAGCGTCCTTTCACTGAAGCCAAGATGAGATTCCATACATGTGTCCTATTCACACCATCCTTGTTGGTTCATAGGATTCGTTAATGTCCTCCTTTCTTCTGGAGGGTTTGAAAAGCCCTAAACACAGAATCCCAGAATCCCAGCCTGGTTTGTGTTGGAAGGGACCTTAAAGCTCCTCCAGCTCCAACCCCTGCCACGGGCAGGGACACCTTCCACTAGAGCAGCTTGCTCCAAGCCCCTGTGTCCAACCTGGCCTTGAACACTGCCAGGGATGGGGCAGCCACAGCTTCTCTGAGCACCCTGTGCCAGCGTCTCAGCACCCTCACAGGGAAGAGCTTCTTCATAATAAGAATGTATCATAAGGTTATAAAGAGTGAAAGTGACAGATTCAGAAGATGAGAACAAAAAACTCACAGTAATGAGAGAGCAAATGCCAATAAGAGGGCACTGACATGGGTAAGAAAACACAGGAGAGCTCTGGAGACACCTTATGCAATAAGCAGAACTGTGGTCCAACATTATATTGTGGATGTGCATCCTTCTGGATGCAAGACATGAGGTGAAATTAAAACCACTTTGACCTGTTAGAGTGTATAGGTTTGGCAGTTGAAGAGATGGTTTGGTATGAACATGGCCAAACAAAGAGCAAATATTCCACAAGAAGACAGGAATTCACTTCAAGACTTGTCAGGTCTTAGTGGAATAGCAGTGGGAAAAGGCTATGAGAGGTCAGAAGTTTTCTTGATTAAATGTCAGTAAGAGTTGTATACACAGAATTAAACAAAATGAGGGGGAGTTTAACAGGAAATCTGATACAGCAAACATGGAAATACTGACATTTTCCTCTAGGAAAACAGTCAAATTAAGGTCCCGGTTGAAGACCTGGAGGTATCAATCAGCTTTGGACCAAGGAGATAAAAAAGAACTAAACACTTCTGTAACCACAGAGTTCCCAGAGCCTTTCTCCAGCAGCACTCTGCTGAGGTGTGCGAGGAAACAGGTTGGAAGGTGTGACAGGTTTGTGACCAAATCTATTTACTGAGGGCAAACATGATCCTCTCAAGGGGTCCCTTCCAATCCAAATCCTCTTCTGAAGAAGAGAAGGCTCAGGGTGGACGTTATCACTCCCTACAACTGCCTGACAGGAGGATGGAGCCAGGAGGGAGCTGGGTTCTGCTCCCAAGGAACAAGGACTGGAACAAGAGGAAACGGCCTCAAGCTGCCCCAGGGCAGGTTTAGATGGAGCTGAGGAACAATTCCTGCCCCAGAGGGTGCTCAGGCATTGGAACAGGCTGCCCAGGGCAGGGCTGCAGTCACCGTCCCTGCAAGTGTTCACACACCATGGAGACGAGGCCCCAGTGCCATGGGTTGGGGGTGGGGTGAAGGTTGGACTTGATGATCTTGAAGGTCTTTTCCAACCTGGTTGATTCTGTGAAATGATTCCATGAAATTATCCTCCAGTTACATTACATGGTACTCCACAAAATGATGGAGCTAACAGCAGAGACAGCATGAAGAAACAGTTAGCAAATTAGCTTAATGGAATAAAGGGAAATAACTGAGCAAATGGAGAAAAAGAAGGAGAAGACTTGTGAGTTTCTCAGGAGACAAGAACAGCAAATCCAAGAATGGAATTTTGGGGTGGTAAAAAGTAATTTCTCTGAAAAAAAAAAAGCCAAACTATTCCAGATAAAAGTCATTCAAGTCCCAAGAGGCAAAGGACTATGAATTTAGCAAGTGCAAATGTGGATACGTGTGGATGGCAACAAGCTACCACTGACAACCAGAGTAAATCTCCATGCTTTTGCTGGAGGGCGTTTTGGTCAGGTCTCACTTGCAGGAGCCAAAGTGCATCCCTAACTGAAAACATCACGTTCTTAGTTCACAAGATGTCTTGAAGAGGTTTGTAAATTGTACATCCTCTGCCTTTGCTACTGAACTCTTCAAATCTGGTGACTTGTGGTTTTCCTTCAGGCCTTCCCAGCGGAAGGAATGAATCACATCCCCAAATCACCCTTTTGGATCTGCATGGCCGCTCTTTGCAGTTCTGAAGGGACCTCTCATATTCTTCCTCCTCCTCTTCGCAAAGTGAAGCTTTTTCTCCTTCCAACGAGATCCATGGCTGGAGGGCAGTGATGCTCTGTTCGCACAGGTACCACTTCCCGCCATGGTTCACACAGCAGATGAGACTGGCACCTGCAGAAGAGGATCCCCTGCCATCTGCTGACACATTGAGATGGATGGGGCACAAAACCCATGCTTTTTATAGTGTATCCTGTTGTTCTAAGCGTGTGAATATGAAGGGTAAGGCAGTCCACAGCGCTCGCTGTACTGGCAAGGCACGTAACTGGGCTCTGGGGGTGGAACTGGAAGGTGGCTTTGAAATAATGAAATAAATCTGATTTGATGTGAATGGATATGGGTTTTGTTCAACCTCTGGAACGACTTATGCTTCGCGTGTTCTGCAAACTGGATTACCCAGGTTTGGGGCTGGTTTTCCATCAGGCATGTCAAATGCTAAATTAAAAGAGGAATCTGTGGATTATTTTACTGTGATACGGCCTCAGGCTCAAAGGCTGTGACAGAGCACATACAGTAAGTACAACTGGATCCCTAGTGAAGAATAAGCTCCAGACAGAATGAATGCCAGGGATAGCTTGATAATACGTGTTCTCTCCTGCAAAACAGCTTGATTTAGCAGAGCAAAAAAGACAAGCAGTGCATTACACCCTCCTGCAGGGTCCTGTGCTGGCCTCAAGACCCAGCAGAAGTATAGCAAAGGACTCTGGGTCCTCAAACACAAGAGGAGGCCATGGAGCTGCTGTGAGGGCTGGAGCAGCTCTGCTCTGGAGCCAGGCTGAGAGAGCTGGGCTGGGGCAGCCTGGAGAAGAGAAGGCTCCTGAAGGGGAGACCTGAGAGCAGCTCCAGTGCCTGAAGGGGCTGCAGGAAAGCTGGAGAGGGGCTTGGGACAAGGGATGTAGGGACAGGCCAAGGGGAATGGCTTTAACCTGCCCGAGGGGAGACTGAGATGAGCTCTTAGGCAGAAGCTCTTCCCTGTGAGGGTGCTGAGGCGCTGGCACAGGGTGCCCAGAGAAGCTGTGGCTGCCCCATCCCTGGCAGTGTTCAAGGCCAGGTTGGGCACAGGGGCTTGGAGCAAGCTGTTCCGGTGCTCTCATCTCAATCTCCCCTCTCATCTTTCACTGCCGAGTTAAGGAACGCTCAGTTATAATAAACCGCGACTTGACAGAACTGGTTGTGCTGAACCACCATCACCAGCGCTCCCGGCGACCTCAGCTCGTCCCTCCCCTCCGTGGGGCTCCGGTCCGGAGGAAGCCGGTGGCGGTTCCTCGCTGCCCGGTGAACGCAAAGCGGCCACCGTACTGCCTGCCCCATGTCACCGGCTGCGGCTGGCCCAGGCCCGGCCTCGCTCCGCCCCGCTGGGGCGGCCCTGCCCGGGGCGGTGGCGGGGCTGTGGGGCCCTGGAGCCCGCTGTCCCGTCCCGCCCCGCCCCGCCGACATGGCTGCGCTGCCGCTGCCCGCCCGGGGGGACCGGCGGATCGGGGCGCTGAGCACACCGGACCCGGAGCCGGGGGAGCCGGAGCGTGTGAGTTCCGACCGTGTGCACACCGGGAGGGGGCGGTGGGGTCGGGCCGGGCCCGCGGAGCCCGTCGCAAACTCGGCGGCGAGAGCGGCCTCTCCGGCGGGGCCGCGGCGGGTCCCGGGGCGCAGCCCGCGCCGCCTCACCGGGCCCGGTGGGTCCCGCGCTCAGCGCCGGCCTGGCGGGGAGGCCGCTGGCCCGGAGCGGCGCCGGCCCGGGCCGGTGCTGGGGAGCGGAGCGGAGCGGAAGGCGGCGAGGACGGCGGCCCTTGCTCCCCATACCCGCTGTAAACGCGTCCCCGGCGGGACTGGTGCCGCTGTGGGAGTGCATCGGGCTGTGGTCCGCAGGGAGACCGGGAGCGTGCACGTGTGCTCGGGGAGTTTTGAGAGGAATTCCGCTGAACGATCATTTATTATCGCTGCTGTTACTATTGCTGGTACACTTTTGCACGTGGGGGCATCATAAATGCTACTGCATCGAATCCCAGCCTGGTTTGTGTTGGAAGGGACCTTAAAGCTCATCCAGTCCCAACCCCTGCCACGGGCAGGGACCCCTTCCACTGGAGCAGCTTGCTCCAAGCCCCTGTGTCCAACCTGGCCTTGAACACTGCCAGGGATGGGGCAGCCACAGCTTCTCTGGGCACCCTGTGCCAGCGCCTCAGCACCCTCACAGGGAAGAGCTTCTGCCTAAGAGCTCATCTCAGCCTCCCCTCTGGCAGGTTAAAGCCATTCCCCTTGGCCTGTCCCTACATCCCTTGTCCCAAGCCCCTCTCCAGCTTTCCTGCAGCCCCTTCAGGCACTGGAGCTGCTCTCAGGTCTCCCCTTCAGGAGCCTTCTTGTCTCCAGGCTGCCCCAGCCCAGCTCTCTCAGCCTGGCTCCAGAGCAGAGCTGCTCCAGCCCTCGCAGCATCTCCATGGCCTCTGGCCTCTCTCCAACAGCTCCACGTCCCTCTTGTGCTGCTGCCCCAGAGCTGGACCAGGGCTGCAGGGGAGATCTCCCCAGAGCGCAGCAGAGGGGCAGGATCCCCTCCCTGAGCTGCTGCTCACACTGTGTGGGTGCAGCGGGGGGCGGTTCTGGTTTGCAGGCGCACACTCTCCTGCTGTCCTGGCTCCAAGAGGTGCTTCCCAGCACTGCTCTGTGGAGCATTCACACTTTGGGCTTCTGGAATAATTTTTCCATTTCAGCTAAGCTCATCTGTGTTTCTCCAATGGGATTCATTCCAACAAGGTGTTTCTCTTCCAGCAGCTTGTAAGCATCTTCCGTCCTAGTAAGTGCCAAGCTGCTAACTTTGGAAAGGTGTCAAGTTCCCAGAAAGCCTTATCCTGGTGTTCACACTCTCCCCTTCTGTTACTTGAGCATCCCTGTTTGTGTGTGACATGAGCAAAAACTTGTGCAGTTTGGGGCTGACATCTCCCCAGAGAAACACCATTTGTAGAGGAGAGGAGGAGCAGTGAACTTGGACTGTGACTGATAAGGTAACATAGGAAAGAAGGAATCTCTCTTTTCCTGGTTTTTGAGGTTGGAGAGGTGAATAAGAAAGTTCTTCCAGTTCATGAATTGCAGCTTTACCCCTAAAAAAGTCACTCACAGGCCAGTTGTCTGGAGACCAGATGAAATTCTTCTGGAACTTCTATGACAGAGACTCTGGATCGCTGTCTCCACCTCTGTAGGTAGCAGAAAACATATGTCAAGCTCTGTAAGGTAGTTTTAAAAGAGAACATTCATTAGAGTACATTTACTGTGTAGAGTAGCCTGGACAAGACGTTAGAGCTTGTTTTATCCTATAGGGCAGTTGTTACGGTCTGGATTACAACTGCGTCATCGCAGCTTAATGCATTTACTTGAGCTGCTGCAGTCCTGGCTCTATCACAGACACAAGATGAAACATCTGCACTTAACCCTTCTCACTGTCTCCACCTCGGAGTACCTCCTCGCTGTGGTGTGGGGATTTCTTAGCTAAATAACTGGCAGCTGTGTCTGATTTTAGCTAACAGCATGAGCCCGAGCGCAACACAGACAAGGTGCTGCACTTTGTATCTCATACAGCTCTCACGGAGGCCTGCACGTTTTAGGTCTAATGCTAGAAGATCTGCTGCCCTTCTCCTTGGGCATCTGCCCTGTTTGGTTTGAAGGTGCTGGGACTGGGGCTTGCACTCCTTACAAATGCTGTAGCTGGGCTTTGCAGAGAGAGCTCTGCTGAAGGAAGCAAGCGGGGCCAGGCTGAGCCCTGGATTTGGGGAGACAACCACATCCTAATCCTCCTTTTATTGGATGCCATTGCCATGCAATGTCTGTGCTAGTAGCTGTCGTAACTGGGGAAGATTCCCCACGGGTTCTTCTGCTCTCCCTCAGCTCCTGCTGCACGTTGTAGATCTGTACATATGGTTTCCTTTTGCCTTTTGTACCTTGACGTAGTTATTTGCACGTATTTCTGAATCTTGCCGTAGGATAGAGCTCATTGATGTCCTACTGCTTTTAAGGTGTTTGGATTTAGAGGCTGGTAAATAACAAGTAGTAACTTTCAAGGCTAGAGCTATCTGTGTGGCATGTTCTGGTTTGGATTTGAATGGAAGCAAAGCTTCCCAGAATAGGGACCTGCACTGACCTCACATTCCTTCTGCTCATCCAAACTCACATTCCATCTGCACTTCTTTCATAGGGAGCTGGATGCTACAACAGGGAGCATCCACACATAGCCATTGTTGGCCTTTCCATAAAGGTACCCAGTAGAGCTAAACCAAGTAAAGCCGTGCTGCACGAGACCTGGTTTATGCCTACAGGGCAGCTGCTTATGGAACACAGATCAGCAGCAAGCCTAGCTTCTAAGAATATGCTAAACAAACCAGAAATTGCATGTGATGAACATGCTGAATTTATAGAACTTTCAAATCTTACAGCTAAATCGAAGAAAGCAAGTGATAGTGCTTAAAAGTACTTCCCATTGCATTCAGATTAGTTATTTCAATGCAGCTAGTTTTTGCAGCAGTTTAGTTTGCCTTTCTCTGAAAAGCAGCATCTGTGAGGCCTTTATCCTTTTGGCATCAGTGAAAATCCGTGGCCTCAGCAACCTGGTATAGTAGAAGGTGTCCCTGCCTATAACAGGGGAGTTGGAATTGGGTGAGCTTTAAGGTTCCTTCCAACCCAAATCGTTCTATGATTCTGTGATTTATTCTATGAAAATACATGTGTTTTTGCAGGACTTCCCAGCTGGAAAAGAAAGTTACAGAATATCCTCTTGGCAGAAGGACCCATTTTCTACCTGTTCTAGGGCAGTACGTAATTTGCTGTTACTTGTCTTAAACTGCATTTCCAAGCTGGATGTAGAACGACCATTCATGCATGGGAGAAGAGAAGGCTCCTTAAGGGGAGACCTTAGAGCAGCTCCCAGTGCCTTAAAAGGGCTACAAGAAACCTGGAGAGGGGCTTTGGACAAGGGATGTAGGGACAGGCCAAGGGGAATGGCTTGAACCTGCCAGAGGGGAGACTGAGATGAGCTCTTAGGCAGAAGCTCTTCCCTGTGAGGGTGCTGAGGCGCTGGCACAGGGTGTCTAGAGAAGCTGTGGCTGCCCCATCCCTGGCAGTGGTCAATGTATTGATTGTTTGTCTCCTAAAAGAAGGGATTCAAGGGAGTGAAGTCTTCCTTGAAGCCAGCTTCCTGATAGAAACACGCACACAACTGTCTCAGCATTGGCATGACAAGTGTGGCACCATCTATTCTGTATGCTGAATTCCTGTCACCGATGCCAAGTATCTTAACCCCCCCAAAAGACAATACCTTGAATTCATTTTTAATAAGCCAGATTTCTTCTAATGGATGGCAGTAAGTCACTTCTTTCCCTTTTCTCCTTCATCTCACACATCTTCCTAGTTATGCTGCTGTACTTCTCTGCTGTACCTTTTAATAAAGGACGAGTTCTTCAGCAAGAAAGGAATGTTTTCCCAGTGGAAGCTGCTCCATCTTTAGAGGACCTTCTCAGACTTTCCGTTGTTGTATTATTCACTTTCTTACTACAATACATATTTCACTTTTTGATTTATTTCCCATCCAAACACTTGGTAGTGTTCTTGTTTCAACTGTTTCCCGCTGAGGTTCCTATTGTATTGATCCACTTTTGTTTTGCATAACATATTCAGATTTGAAATGTAGTTGCCATGCTTCAGTAGTCTGTTAGTTCTGTGACAACATATCTTGTGCCTGTGAAATTAGATGCTTGTGAAAGAGATGGAATATTGTTATTCCTTAAACAAAGTTTGTTCAGAAAGGCATCAGAAAAGTATTTCAAAGGTGGGTGTATCTGGAATTCAGAGTTGGACCCTGCAGTGTCTGTGTCAGTGTTGAAATTTCCTGTTAATTTGCTGTTAGAATTTCAAGGAGCCCCTGGGATTTACGTAGTTCCTCCCCCTTGCATGGGATATCAGGCACAGGCCAAGGATATCCTTCTTAGGGCTTCCAGTTGGTGTCTTCCTCAGACTTCATAGCATCCCAGCCTGGTTTGTGTTGGAAAGGGCCTTAAAGCTCCTCCAGCCCCAACCCCTGCCACGGGCAGGGACCCCTTCCACTAGAGCAGCTTGCTCCAAGCCCCTGTGTCCAACCTGGCCTTGAACACTGCCAGGGATGGGGCAGCCACAGCTTCTCTGGGCACCCTGTGCCAGCGCCTCAGCACCCTCACAGGGAAGAGCTTCTGCCTAAGAGCTCATCTCAGTCTCCCCTCTGGCAGGTTAAAGCCATTCCCATTGCATCTTAACCTTAGTTAAGTTCTCACAGAGCAGTAAAGCAGCGTTTCTTGGGACCTCCAAGCTCGTGCTGGGTTGCTGTGCACATGAGGAAGGACAGCTTTTGGTTCATGGGACATCCAGATGTCATTCAGTACTAGATAACAGCTCATCTTAGAGCTTCAAGAGCATGAAGGGATGTCCCATCCCTGGCAGTGTTCAAGGCCAGGTTGGATGGGGCTTAGAGCAAGCTGCTCTAGTGGAAGGTGTCCCTGCCCATGGCAGTGGTTGGAACTGAATGAGCTTCAAGGTCCCAGTTAAACCACTCTGGGATTCTGTGATAATTAATGGATTACATAGCAATGGAAAGCTGTAAAAATGTGACAGTCAGAGAAAGATACAAAAATCATTACAGCATATCTCTTCATAACTGTCTGACTTAGCTCCAGGGTTTTCCTTCCGTTTCCTTGATTTAATTAGTCATTTCGCACAACTTCCCCTGCTCCTCTCCTTTGATAAACACATTCCCACGTTCCACACTAATGCTACATGATGTTCTTTTCCCAGTGGCATTTTATCTCCAGTTTCTAAATGTGAGGCACAGAGATGTTTAGTGAGACCTGCTCAGAGATCACCACATCAGCACGAGATGTGGTGTTAAATGCAAGATGCGGACTTCTGGCCTAGTGTCTGGTGGTCTGTTACTAACTTAGGGTTCTACCAAGTAAATGCAAGAGCCTTATTGGTCATAAACAATAAATAATAGTAATATTAATCCCAAAAACCTGGGTTCAGTGGCCTGTTCCTTGCAAAGACATGTCCATACTGGCAGTGTTCAAGACCAGGTTGGACGAGGCCTTGGGTGAGATGGTTTAGTGTGAGGTGTCCCTGCCCATGGCAGGGGGGTTGGAACTTGATGATCTTAATGTCCTTTCCAACCCTAACTATTCTATGGTTCTATGATACTGCTTTTGACTCTTTCAGAAGCGAGCATGCAAGCGGCTAGAAACCATCCCCAGTGAGGCTGAGACTCATCTGCTTGGTTATGCCATGGAGCTGGATTCCAAACAGAAAATCTCCTCTGACTGTGGTCCTTGGGCTACAAAGGCAAAGCAGAATTCAATGGTATGTTTACACCATCCACAACATCTTATGTTTGTAGAAGAACACGTTTAAAATACATTCTATAATACCACTGCAAGTAATTGCCCTCTTCTTGTTATGCATGTGTCTTTGTTCATGAGGTTTTTGAAAACCATGGAAGCAGAGGTACTGCTCAGCCTTGCCCAAGATGTATTGCTGGAGAATCTGTAAGTATATTAACCTTCTTTCTGTGACATAAAAGATAGACTTGCTCTTAAGTATTAGAGCCATAAAACACAAAGTTAATAAAACCCACAATTACACAGCTCAGGAATAAAGCATGTAAATAAAAGAAGACAGATTGATTTAGCACTTCAGAGCTACACCAGCAGAGCACAGACTAATATGTTTCCAGCAGCAGTTGGAAAATATGGAGAGTATGAAGACATATTTCAGATTCACTCTAAAAAGCAGAGTTTAGGAAGTAACTGAAGCAAACACTGACATCCAACTTCCTCTCCCCCCTTTTTATATCTTCCTTGAGTTTCTGGATCATAATAAAGTAGTCAGCAATCCCATTCTATCTCCTGTTTTTAACTCTAATTGGATACTTCCTTTCCAACAAATAGACACAGCCTAAAAATAATACCCTGTAGACATACCAGAGCTGGTTCTAAATGAGGGAGCAAAAGAACCAGTTGCAGTCAGAGCTTGGCACAGCCTGGCTTTCTGAGGAGCAGCACATGGATTTGGGCAGCTGCACAGTGCTGGCTCCTGAGCTCCTGCACACAGGCTCCTCCTGACATCCAGAGAAAGCTCTTCAAAACCTGTATTGCTTATTTGATTTCTCTAGGCTGTAGTTGCAGTTACAGAACTATGGAATAGTTTGGGTTGGAAAGAACCCTAAGCTCATCTAGTTCTAACCCCTTGCCGTGGGCAGGGATGCCTCACACCAGACCTGGCCTTGAACACTGCCAGGGATGGAGCATTTACGTGGCCCATGGCAGAGGGGTTTTAACTAGATGATCTTAAGGTCCTTTCGAACCCTAACTATTCTATGATTCTATGATTTACCACTTCTTTGAGCGCCTTGTGCCAGTGCCTAACCACCCTTACAACAAAGAACTTCTTCCTTATACCTAACCTGAACTGCCCCTGTTTTAGTTTGAACTCATCACCCCTTGGCACTGTGCACTCTGGTGTAATGGTGCAGCAGCAGCACTAGAACCTCCCACTGACAGATGACTGTGAGCTCAGTCATCTGTCAGTGATGACTCTTTTTACTCTTTTTAGCCCTGGATAGGACGCCAAAACACTGAAGTGATAATGGCTAATGATAGCGAACAAGGAGGTCTACAAGAAAGCTGGAGAGGGGCTTTTGACAAGGGCCTGTAGGACAGGACAAGGGGAATGGCTTTAACCTGCCAGAGGGGAGACTGAGATGAGCTCTTAGTCAGAAGCTCTTCCCTGTGAGGGTGTTGAGGCACTGGCACAGGATGCCCAGAGAAGCTGTGGCTGCCTAAATAATAAAAGCCCCAAAAGAAAAGAACATTTTGGGATTCCCCCCCAAACTGGCACATTAGGACATGGGTTTTGTTGTATTCCAGAACTACAGTGACAACATTATAGAGTTTGTAAATTCTTCTGTATCAGAGACCACTTATTGGGAAAAAATCTGACTTGAGTATAGGTATCTTCATTCCAAGTAACGCATTCCTGTGGCTCCTGACACAGATTACACTACACAGTCCTGTTATTATCCAGACTTTCTAGTTGTCCACTGGTCCTCCAGGGACAAAAAGAGAACATTTGTGATGTTGTTAGTGGAAGGGTCACTTCCTTCATACACCGAGGAGGAAGAGACTTCAGGTTTGGATGGGGTAACTTTTAGCGACATGAAACTTTGTCATTTCAGGGACACTTCAATCATATCCTGAGCTTCTAGAAGTGGCAAGAGAGAAGATCGGCAGTGCTGCTATTCAGTTTGAGTTCTGAAGCTAGACCTGGCAATCTGTGCAGCTGGATATCTGTACCCTCACTCGAAGCATGGACTTGTGTGGACATGTGTGTGTCATTCAGCATACAGCACTTCCCTGTGTGCGTTGCTCTTTCAGTGCACAGTTATGGGTATCATTGTTTTTTACACTTGAACAATGCTTCTGCTTTTAAGGTAGTCGCTATCTTTTTTAAATAAGAAAATAAGGTTGATTTAGTTTTAGATCAGTTGGGTTGATCTGGCCTTTGGAGCAGTTTTCTCCTGGGTCAGGGGTCATGATCCAAGATTTTCCTGTCTCTTTTGGGCACTTTTCCTGATGTGCTTGGAAAACAGTCCTTGCATTTACATCCATACAGGCATGTATACATTACATAGCTCAGCCCTGTATGTGCAGGTAGAAATGTCTTCATCCTTAGATGACTGTTCTGCTTTGCAGCTGTGAAAGCCAGTAAAAATCCTATTGAAATTTAAGTTTATCTCCAAATTACACATCCAGTTCAGGTATCTTATATACTGTACTTGTAGCTTGTTTATAACAAGCAGAGTGGGTGAATGTGGCAGTTAAGTATCCAACAGGAAAAGGAATATTATTTGGACTACCTTCTATAGGATGAGTAGTAGATGAGCTCCGTGGAGTCCTCACAAAGCTGTTAAGATACAATTGACACTGCCTGACTCTGTCTTTCCAGTTACTGTGATATTAGAACAAATCTGTTCAGAAAGCCTTGAACTTGTCATTCAACATCCTTGTGTTGGCTTGTCACAGGTAATTTCACCTATGTTTTGCCAGTGCATAGAGCTATATAATTTTATATAGGATCAGACTTTTAGACTCAAAAGATAGGCAAGCTGTGCTGTTTGAGTGTGACACTTCAGTGCCTGCTCTGGTCTAGGCAGAAGGGTCATAGAATCACAGACTGGTTTGGTTGGAAGGGAGCTTAAAGCTCATCCAGTTCAGAATGGGCTCCAAAAAGAGGTGTTGAAACAGATTGGCTCAGTGGAAGATTCCTCCTTAGGAGAGATTTCTGTGAAAACCCTTCTATATCTTTTTATTCCTTCAGAACTGAGAAGTGTTTTAATTTTTGCATCCCAAACATTTCAGCATCCAGGGTAATCTGCAAAAGCACTGCCCTGGGTCAGATGGGAACACCGAGCTCAGTAGGTCAAGTGACCAGTTTTTGGCAGGCCCAGGGAAGAGTCCAAGAAGCAGAGCAAGCATTGAAGGAAAGACTTGGTACAAATACAAAGCCAGTATTTTCTATCAGGTTGTGTTATGGGCATCCTTTCTTGCCTCACAGCCAAGCCTCAAACATCAAATATCTCAGGAATGATGAAAACATCAGTATTTTCCAACAGTATTTTTGTCCTTTGCTGTGATCTGTTGCTATGATGTATGTTTGTTAGCAAGGGAACATTAAACTTACCAATGCTTAGCAATACGACCTTCAAGAGTTAAGCAGCAGTTCCTTTATGACTAGAATTCAAGTGTGTGGCTATATTCACACTTAATTTACACAGTGCAAGGATGCTCTTCCTATACAAAGATAGCAGCTCTCTCTGTTCCTCTTGAGTTGGCTGGTGCTATCAAAAAACCTAGAACCTTTGGGAGCTGCAACTGAAGCAGGAGGGTAACTGTGGAAGATGTTTTTATTAGTGTTCTACATTCCTCCCTGTTGCAGGAGGAATGTTAAGTCCTAAGGAAAACTTGGAAGCCCTGACAAAAACTTGAACAGATATGTAGTTAGATTCCTGGGAATGCTATTGCTGGTAAATTAAGTATTCCAGGTAGGTGAACATTTCAGGTAGAGTCCGTATGAACCTAAGTCTTCTTGGTCCTAAAATATGAACTGGCCTCTCCAGTGAACTGGGAACATGTTTGGCTATTTAGAAATACTGGGTTTATCCTGATTTTCTTTCCAAATGAGAATTCCTACGCATCTGGATGAGCTCTGAAGTGAATCTTTCAGTTAGGATGCCATTCCTCACTCCACGCTTTCCAGTGGGGTGAGGAATGCAGCCATAAATCAGCCAGGAGAAAAACAAATTGCAGCTTAATAGTTAAATACATTGCAGGCTTATGGTAGTGTATGTTTTACAATAGACATAGTGTTTGTAATTAGCTTCAGGATGTGTCAGTCAGAATCATAAGCAATAGATACAGGTGAATGCCATGGGGACAGGGGAAGAGTTTCTTTAGAGCAGATTTGTGTCAAGTCTGCACTAGAACCACAGAGTTATTTTTGTATGACTTTTCTTTGCCTTGTATATCTATGGGATTATGTTTTATTGATAAAAGTAAGACACTTTATATTTCCTAATACTGTGATTTGTACACAAAATTACCCGAGTGATTTTATTTATGTGTATATAGTAAAATAGCCATATGGTCTGCCTTTAATTCAGCTTAATAGGATATATTCTTCTATTTTTAACTTTGTATTTTGTAAATTGTTACTTATAAAAGCAGAAGCATTAAACACCACTTTGGCTACAGTGTGGAACTGGCTGGTTTTGTTACTCCATTCAGGATTGGGTTGCAGACACTGAGATAGGTAAATCATGGAATCATAGAATGCTTTGGGTTGGAAAAGACCTCAAAGCTCATCCAGTTCCAAACCCCTGCCAACAGGGAGAGGCCAAGGGGAATGGCTTTAACCCGCCAGAGGGGAGACTGAGATGAGCTCTGAGGCAGAAGCTCTTCCCTGTGAGGGTGCTGAGGCGCTGGCACCAGAGAAGCTGTGGCTGCCCCATCCCTGGCAGTGCTCAAGGCCAGGTTGGACACAGGGGCTTGGAGCAAGCTGCTCTAGTGGAAGGGGTCCCTGCCCGTGGCAGGGGTTGGAGCTGGAGGAGCTTTAAGGGCCCTCCAACCCAAAGCAGTTTGGGACTCTGAGTCAAAACACCGGTTTGCTGTTCCACAACAATATCTGTGTTGAGATCTCCAGATCGCACCACCCAAGGTTGAAGTTCCTGTGCTTTGTTCTTGCTGGAACATTACCCCTGTTCTTCTGAACCTGAGCTTTCCAAAAGCTCTCAGAGAGCTGAACATCAGCCTCTATGGTGCTGAGCAGCCCCTGGGACACCAACATCCCCATGCACACGTCCACTACACGGTGGCTGAGTTAGCACTAGACATTTATTACATTGGCTCCTGAAGTCCTCACTCTTTAATGCCATTTGCTCTGTAGAATGAGGTGTGGTGATATTTGTGTATGATTACAGTGTTGTTACAGAAACAATATAGAAATCACGGCGTGATATTTGCTTGCAACACAGGGTGTCATTCATGAGTTATACATAAATGGCAGCTTTACATATTTAAAAGGAACATGGACTGCTTCATATCTGAAGTATGTTTCCCAGGAGATAACACCACCATTTGATCTATTTTTGATTAAAATGTAAAAATTAAAAATTAAATCAAATGGTAGTGCAATTCCTTTGGGAAAACATACTTCAGTTATGAAGTATTCCCCATAGTAACCTTGAGAATCTTACAGCTGTATTGTCTCATCTGTAGGTGGTCTTTTTATGTCTCACATAATTAAAATGAATTGCTGTTAGAGAACCCATACTACTGCATACAGATTTATGAACCTTGAGGCACCTCCATTCGCAGACAAACAGCAATATCAAAAGCCAACTGCGTGGATGCACCACGGCGAGGCAGGGACTGGGAATGGAGATGGTTGCTGGCAAGTGGTACCTCTGCCTTGGAAGGGTGAAGAAGGAGCACAATGCAAAGTGATACCATGCTTCCAGTAAAGAATAGTGCCTAAAGAGGGATGCTGTACAGCACAACAGCCCTGAGAGACATGGGGATGTAAAACACAGTAGTTAAAACATTCCAAGGGTACTTTCTATCCTAAGGAAGGGCTAATTTTGTCACCAGGAAAAGACTGTGAAATTGGATTTAGTAGGGAAGCGCGCTCTGCAAAAATCCAATGCAACTGGTCAAGAGCAAGCTGCTTTAGCAGATCCACTCTGAATATGGGAATGTGGGTTTGATAAGACTAGAGCATAGCGGGGATCAGGAAAATACAAGACTGCAGAATTTGCATTCACACTTTGACATATCTGAAGGGCAAAAGTGCCATTTATTTGTTGTTTGGTTTGGATTCTCCGCGTCCCATTGACACTCGCCATCACAATGACTTGTGATGTTCATTCTCCTCAGGCTGTAATTAAGACTTCCATAACATATTTCAGTCAAAAAAGAGGAGATTTAAGTGAAATGCTTGGATTTAATGTTTAAATAACGAGAAACATCCTACCAATGAAAATGTGAAGTCCAACAGCAGCTTGTAGCAACATTTTGTAGCGAGCAGCAGGACTGTTCAGATTTCAACATAACACTTAAAATGTCTGTGATCACTGAATTTCTTTCTAGAGGGGAGTTTTTGATGCATAATCAGCCTAAAGTCCTCCTGTAATTGCACAGTGAGAGGCCTGTGAAGTTGCAGGAAGGCTGCAGGTGGGATCTGGACCTACAGAAGCAAAAAGATTTCGGCTAACCTATGGAGCCAGCCAAGGGAAATCGGCCTGAGGTTTCCCTGTGTTCAGTTCTGCATGGGAGCTCTCTCCACCGGCTATGTTGCCACCTAGTGATGGCCAGAAACGGTTCCAAGGAGACAGGATGGTTAAATACTGAGAGCAATTACAATGACACTGTCTGTCTCAGGACATTGAAGCGGTTGCAGGTAGTTCACTTGGGACTTCTCTCCCCTTTCCGCTTGTTAAGGGCTGCACTGTGGAGCCTCCTCAGCTCCTTGTGGAACTCTGACCTTCACCTCTTAGTTACATGAAGCATCCCCACATGGACTGACTGAAGTTTTACACTGTGTATAATCATAGAATCCCAGCCTGGTTTGGGTTGGAAGGGACCTTAAAGCTCCTCCATTTCCAGCCCCCTGCCCTTGTCCCAAGCCCCTCTCCAGCTTTCCTGCAGCCCCTTCAGGCACTGGAGCTGCTCTCAGGTCTCCCCTTCAGGAGCCTTCTCTTCTCCAGGCTGCCCCAGCCCAGCTCTCTCAGCCTGGCTCCAGAGCAGAGCTGCTCCAGCCCTCGCAGCATCTCCATGGCCTCCTCTGGCCTCTCTCCAACAGCTCCACGTCCCTCTTGTGCTGCTGCCCCAGAGCTGGATCAGGGCTGCGGGGGGGTCTCACAGAGCGCAGCAGAGGGGCAGGATCCCCTCCCTGAGCTGCTGCTCACGCTGTGCGGGCACAGCCCAGCACAAGGGGGGGTCTGGGCTCAAGGCACTGAAGCCAGAACATGGGGAGCTTCTCACCCAACACCCAAATGCCTGGTTAAACACACACAGGTATGAATTAGGCCTGAATTAATGACAAGATACCACCACCATCCCTCCTGTTCTCACTAGTGTCCTAAGCCAGCGTCCGGGGAGAAACAGGGCACAATTCAGTGTAACATGGCCCTTGCACCACATTTGGGCTGACAGAGCCCAGCTAAAACCTTCCCTGTGCCTCCCACCTCATCCAAAAGGTTTCCTCTGCTTGTGGACACCATCAGCCTTTACCTCCACCACCCTCATCTTCACACCCACAGGAAAAAGAGTCAGGAACCCATCCCTGGTTCCTCAGGGATGCTGGATCCATGCCTTTAGCAAAGCTACTTTCTATCAATGTAATAAGAAGCCTTTAAATACAAGAAAGTTGTCTGACCTCAAAACCTCTGGAAAACACGTGATGCGTGAAAGACATTTTGAGTCTATGATCCAGTAACTTGCAAAGGAAGGAGTCTACGAAGCCCTGAAAGCCTTTAAGATGTTCACTTGGAGCACAAGGCTGGAAGGAGTATTCAGAAGAGCTATTTTCAAAAGCGGTTGTAAGGAAAGGGCAATAACTGATTGAGTTATGCAGCAAAGAGATGCTGTTTTGCTAAAGGTGGGGTGATTTAGTCAGTAAATCACAGCCCTGATTCTCCGTCTGCTTTTAGTTGCCAGCATTCCGTCCATTTGACAGTTCTGCTGGTGATAACGTTAAAGCTATTCCAGCTCTGCTAAAAGTTGAGTCACAAGATCCTGCTCTCCATATAGCAGCACCTTCAGTGCCACAACCCCTTTCCCAGGTCAGAGGCTGTGACAGTGATTTCAGAACAGGGGCTCCTATTCCCTGCCTGTGGCAGGACGCTGGAACTGGATGAGTTTTAATGTCCCTTCCAACCCAAACCAGGCTGGGATTCCTTGGCAAAAATGCTGCTGCCTGTGTTGAAGAGCAGTGGGATGGTTCAGGTTTAGTGCCAGCCATGACAGGGAATTTGGTTCAAGCCATTCCCCTTGTCCTGTCCCTACAGGCCCTTGTCCAAAGCCCCTCTCCAGGTTTCCCAGGGCACTGCTGCTCTGGGAACACCCCTGGGATAGCTTGTGGATTAAAGCCCTGAATCCCTTGGGTGGCTTTGCTGAACCCTTGCTGCCCACCGAGGGC